TTCCTGGAATGCTGGGATCGTAGGCATGTGCCACCATGTCTAGGTGATGTCTTCGGTTTTGTGCACTCTCCTGGCTAAGCCCTCGTCTCCCTTCGGCTCTGCGGTCCCTCCCTGGTGATGTTTACCTCTCCGCCCCACCCCAATGCCCACATCAGTGAGTTCTCTCTGCGCCTTGGGACACAGCCAACCCCATCCTCCTTCTGGACTCTCCAGCCACCCAGCTGCCTGACTCCTCTATCCATCTTGGCCTCTCTTGTCCCAGCCCAGACCTCTTGTCTCAGTCACCTCCCCTGTCTGGACCAGTTACTGCTGGGATCCCATGGGACTGGTTGTTGTGGCCTCTCCTTTCCATTGTGGCCCACTGCAGACCTGCAGTCCCAGGCCGGTGTCCCCCAGCCCTGCCCACTTCACTGCAGACCCCTCTCTGCTTCCTTCCCACCTCTCCTGCTCTGCCTGCTGCAGCTCACCCGGCCGCCAGGCTTTCTCTCAGCCTCTGGGCCTTTCTCTGGGAGCCCTCTTTGCCCTGCTTCCAACTTCCCTTTTAGTTTTTAGCCAAGAGCATTTACACCCCAGGCTCTGCTCAACTAAACACCTCTCCTGCGTGACTCTGAAAACCCCCAAGACCAGCTGCATCTTCTGGCATGCGCTTTTCATTCAGTTTTTAGTTTGTTTGATTGATTGATTGATTGATTGCAGTGCTGGACTCAGACCCAGGGCTATGTGTTTGTCAGGCAAGGGCTCCACCTCGGGACCACACCCATGTGTTAGTTTGGGGCAGTGTCTGAAAGGCTGGAGCTCTGGAATCAGACCCCTGAGTCTAATCCTGACTCCAGCAAGCAGCCCAATCGTTCTCTGCCATGCAGCTAATTAGGTCTTGTGCTACATCCTCTTGACTGTGATGGTGCTCACGCTTCAGTGGCTGATGCACATAGTAGGTGCTTAAGAAATACTGGTGCTACATCTTTTTTCCTGGGTAGCACTTTCCTGCCAGGCTTAAATAGTGGATTGATTGGGTGACAGATCCTTTCATGATATGGTCTTCTCCATGGCACCTTGGGCTCCGTGGAAAAGGGGCCTGGTCCTGGCTGCTGTCTCCCGACCCCACCCAGCGTCTCAGGAAGCACCTGGCGCTTGTGAGGTCTGTGAATCTTGCACAGTAAATGGATGTAACAGGGATAAAGACATGGGCGTGGGGATGAAAGTGTTCACCTGGAAGCCCGTTCATAGCACAGAATCTAGCACCTCTCGAGGCCAGGGGTGGGGGCAGGGTGTTTAGGAGAAGCAGGGACCTCAAGGGCTACATCAGTGTGTACTTTGGGGACCTGGAAAGCTGGGAGTATTTGCAGAGCTGTTGGGACAAAGGGAGGAGCTTAGGGAGCTGAAGGGAAGGCAGGCTTCTTTTTTTTGTTTTGATTTTTAACTTTTGATGAGAGACTGAGAAATCTCTTACACAATTTTAGGTTCTGAAAAATCAGCCAACTTCTGTAGTGGGAATGTGAAGGATGCTGGTAAACACATGCATTTCTGAAATGAAGCCCAGGCTGCACAGGCTGCGGGCACCAGGGCAGCAGCTGTGGTTGTCCGGGGAACAACAAGCGCCGAGGGAGGTGGGACGCGCAGGAAGAGGGCTAAGGACAGCCGGTCCTGTGTGTGGGTGGGTACAGACGAGAAGGACTATGATACCTGGGGAGGGGCGGGCCAGCCTGGACTGTGCTGTGTGCCCCGGGTGGGCATGGTGAGCTCAGAAGTGCAGTGACCTCCCGGCTGCTGTGGCTGGTGACTGGTGCCTGGTGCAATAATGGATCCCACAGGCCCATGGTTGTACTTAATTCTGAAGTCCTTGGACTCTGTCTAAACCCTGGCTTTGCTGACAAGAATACTCAGGCCCAGAGAGGTGACGTGACTCACTCCACGCCACATGGCCAATTAGTGACAGAGAGGTCAGAGCTCACATTCCCCCTTCTCCGGGCAGATGTCCATAGGCAGGGAAATTTCCACTTCTTACTGACGTCTAGTCAGGAAGATGACCCTCCTCAGAGGCACCTTTCCTGCGGCGGAATGGATGGTGTGGTTTATAATTTTCCATTTGCATGCCATGTGGCCTTCATAGGAAGCTCTTGTAGGGTTTCCTTCCCCTGTCTGGAAAGTGGGCTGATTGGCAGTGACTTAGGGTCGTCTCAAGCATAAATGATACAGTTCCCCCAGAACAGTGCCAAGGGAACCTCTGATGGTCACGGCCACTGCCACAGTCCAGGCTGTAATGTGGCTTGCCTGACTATAGGGTGGTATAATCGGATGGGGTTTCAAGCACCCTTCTTGGGTGTCTTGAGTTCTGACCAGCTACTTGCAAACACTAGGCCCATGTGTTCTCATCCAAAAAGCAAGACAATGGGGCCAGGGAGATGGCTCAGTAGAATAAGCATTTGCCTGGCAAGCTCAAGGGCCTGAGTTTAATCCCTGGTTCTGTAAAAAAAAAAAAAAAAAAGCAGGGCAAGGAGTGATGGGGGCAAGGTGGACACTTCCATGTGGGCTGGGCAGTTCAGTCACCTGTAGAACAGAGTCTATAAGGTAGGGGCAAAGGGCAGCTGGGTGCCGAGGGGTGCAAGGAAAGCACCCTGTGTTCAGCAGTGTGATTCTGAGGCCTGGGCAAACTGGTCTGGTCCACAGTGACCATGGAGAACATGTCCCCCTGTGAAGGACCCATACCCCTGATCACCTCCAGGCAGGGCTGCCAAGAACCCCCAGCAGCACATTCCTGATCTATGAGCTCAGTGGCTCTTGCTCCTTGTTGCCGTCTGTTCAGCTTCAGACAGGAAAGTCCAGTCAGAGCAGGCCGGGAAGCTGGTCAGTGCTGCAGCGTCAGGCTCAGCCCGGTCATACTTCCCAGCCTCTGTAAGGCTCGGCCAGCTCATAGGGGCTGACGGGTACAGGAGGGTCCCAAGTTTAGATCTGGAAGAAGAGAGAAACTGGGCATGACGTCAGCTCACATTCCTCTTCCCCCACCTCTGCCCAGCTTAGGGTCTTAGTTCTTGGGAGTGAACAGGAGCCTGGGAGTCACCATGAAAGGCGACTCCTCCACATGGAACCAGGGCACAAGGGTGGTTTTTCCCACAGGCCAGGGTGAGGTTCCCTGGCTGCCTCAGGAGAAACCCCGAGCCCCAAGTTCACAGAGATCACTGATGTCACAGCAACCTCCAAGCTGGTGAGCCTTGGCGGTGTCCTCAGTCTATTGGCCAAGCCCATGCCTCCCCATGTGTCAATTACTGTGGCTGTCACAACCCCAGAGTGGTGACCTTGTTCTTCCTGTCCAGGGGGAGAACCTATCCTTTCTTATGTGCTGACTGCCGCCAATCTCTCCTGGGCATGGGGGGCTTGTGGACAGATCCATATATTTAGACTTGTGATTTTTTTTTTTTTTTTTTTTTTTTTTGTCAGTAAATGAATCAGCAGGAAAGAATATCAAGAATTGTCCCTGGAGAGTCAAAGACCAGGAGGGACTAGAATATTACTGGCCGTTCGCCTACACAGATGGGCAGGCATGACCATTTGGGGACGTTGAAATTTTTGCTAATTCTGAAAAAAAAAAAAAAAAAAAAAAAGGCTTCATTGCCAACCTGGGCCAATGAGAGGAAGACAGAGCCTGTTCTGGTGTGTCTGGTACCAGTGCTTCTCTCTGATTGTAGCACACTAAGGGAGACTCAGCAACTACTGAGTCACCAAGTGTCACCCCTTATATATGGCATCTGTGTGGAGCCAACTAAGTCAGTCCCACTGAGAAGATGACTCTGCCCCCAAACACCAAGTTCATCCCAGGGACATCTGCTGCACCTGGTAAGCTCAGCCTGCACCCTGCCACCGTGGCTGCGCTCTTTCCATCAGACTGGGAAATTCTCCCGTAGAGCGCCAGGTCATGTGTCACTGATCCCTCTATAGCAAGTGTGCTGGGCCCTCAATATCCATCCCTAGAATCAACATCAAGAAGTGTTTCTCCCAACTGCTGAGTCACAGAATTTCTAAAAGCATTTGACTGCGGACTTGCAAATTGGGTCTGTTACCCAATGCCCCATAGGGAAGAGGAGAAGATGGCCCCAGGCAGTGAATGGTGGAAACTCGGCTCTCCTATACACAGCTGTCTGCAGCCACCCTGCCAAATCCCGTGGGCTGCCTGCTGCCCTGGCTGGGCTGTGTCTCCTGTGCCTTCATGCACTGCTGTCTGTCAAGCACTTGTGCACACAGAAAGACAGGAAGGAAGTCACTGCAGACAGCACATTGTCCTGGCCCCTGGGTACAGAAGGCTGGGATCACTCACATGACACTTAGTTCTATAAACCCAAAAAGAATTGATCTGGCTACCCCACACCTTATTTTCTTATTGCCAACATGATAAAGAGATAGTTTTAAAGATCAGTACACCAGATAGGTTATATTACAATACTAGTATTTAACATTGTATCCTGTAATACAAATCAATACTCTCAAATACAACTTACAGGTTTATAACAAAGTCTGGTTTTTCTGCTAGTGGCTGATAGCTCATTCTTATAGGTCATGAGGTCAATTCCATGGTTGCTACCAGAATTAAAAGGGAAAACAGTCCCATAGGACATGGTAGAATGGAAAACCTCACAGTGTGCTGCATGTAGCTAGCAAGTGGCATGCCCTGAGTCCTCTGACACTGCGCTCTGCTCTGGATTCCAAGCGACAGTCATGCTTCTGTTCCTCACTGTCCCTGCTTACTTTTCCCTTCTTATTCCTTCTAGACCCTCTCTGTGGATGTAGTACTCCCTGCCACTTGCCATCTCAGCTCTGCCTTTCTGTAGTCCCCTCTCCCATCTGCTGTGTCCCAACAGATCCAAGCATCAGGGCAGGGACCGAAGTGGCCTTCCATCCCTGCCTTGAATGGAAAGGTCCTTGTGGGCTGTGGTGTTCGGGACAGGGTCCATTTGTTTTTCCTTTGCTTACTAAATAAATTACCCTCAGTCCTCTGATTCCCATTTCAGATCAACAGCTCTGTGGTGAAGCATGCATTCCCCAAGGAGGTCCCCGCTGTGCCTGGTTCTCCTGGTCACGTGCCTCTCCAGGGCACAGAGCTGGGACCTGCAGGCTATGGCGAGTCCTTCGGTGAGTAAATCCTTTGACACATCTCTGATTTTCTGGGAATGTCACAAGCAGGAAGTGTTTTTTTTCAAAAAAGCTGCAACAAAGGGGCCTTAGCGCAAAGACAGCCAGCAAGGCAAAAGGGCGACTGTGGACAGCCATGAGGCAGTGCTGGGTGACAGCCTGCTGCCCTCTGGTGGGGAAGTGGTGGTGTTGGGGGCATCAAGGGGACATGGACATGGCTTCCAGGGAGGTTGTGAGATGACACTGAGAGCACTGAAGTGCTGGAGGATAAGCAGAGGACAAGATGTTCACCCAGAACTGATTTCAGCTCTGGCCTCAGACTGGAATGCAGGTCGCAGGGCGTCGGTCTCTGTGTCCTGCAGTTACAGCAGGCACAGAACAAGGGGCCGTCGGCAGTGTCTGGGATCTTTGCGGACACATTGTCCAGGTGGCTTTGTGTTTGGGAAACCAGTGAAAGTACAGCTGAAGGGTGATAAGTGCCCTGCTGTCCCTGTGGGATTACTGGGTTATTCCTCCTTGAGCCTCTTTGTGCCAGACTCAGGGCACTTACTTCCAGGCCAGCTTGGGAATCCCAGAAGTTCACTTGTCCTTGTTGGACAACATTCTCTCTTAGACCAGAAAACCACAGGTGAATGGATGGCCACAGAGGGAGCTAGTGTAAAGTACAGGTTGCTCGGTTCCTAAAACAGTGGTTCTAGTCCCAAATGGCACTGACTGCATCACCAAAGCTTTCCTTGGGGATCACTTGATCTTTCATAACCTTCTATGAAGTGGACTCTATTTCATCCCAGTTTGTGGTTTGTATGGAGGCCCAAAGAGGTCAAGTGACATGCCCAAGGTCACAGCTATGTTATGGTGGAGCTGGGATTTCAACTCAACCCTGAAGCCTTGGCTTCTAACCACAGCATCCTAGAACTCAAGAGCTTACCACGCACTGCTTGGTGGGAACTTCCTGTGACCATCATAAGAAGTTGGCATTAGTTGATACCCATCTTATGGATGAGTAAATTGAGGCTCGCTGAGGGTGAGTCAGTTCCCCAGCATTGCCTGGCTGGAAAGCACCATAACACAAAAGGCTGGGTCACAGAGCTCCTTGGTTCCTGACAGAAACCAGCACAACAGCACCAGGAGGACCTGAAGAGGAAAGAACAACTTCTGAGCATGCATTGTGGCTCCTGGGCTTAGGACAACAGAGATGGGGGTGGGAGCTTGGTGAGCAGAGGCCATGAGAGTAGTCCCAGAGGTCACAGAGGGATGCAGGCTTTGGGATGCAGGTGGAAAGCACCCGCTTAGGCATCCCGACTGACCTTTCCTGACAAGACTCAAGCAAGTAGCCTGTGAACCAGGCCAGATCTCTTCCACCTCTGGAGCCTCAGGCAGGCTGTGCAAATCCTTCCTAGGTCACTCCACAGCGTTCCTGTGTGTGTCCCCTGGGCCATGGTGCCCCCTAAAACCTGCAACCTGAGCTTGCCTGGGACACTCAAGGGTGCGTGGGCAGGAAGCCAAGGCCAAGACTTCTCTAACTGACGCCTTCTCAAATGTCCTCGCAGGTGCTACGTGAGCGGGACTTTGCGAGTGTGGAGCTGCTAAGATCTCGGCGTGCAGGTATGTGAAGGCCTCACTAGTGCTGTCTTTTGTAAGCCCAACCACTGGTGCCTGTACAGCTTTTTAAACACCGCGATCCATTATTCAGGCTCCCTGAACATCAGTGCTGTTCTGGGAAAAGGCCTAGAGGGCGACAGAGAGCAGGCTTGGCCTCAGTTTGGGGCAGAGTTGTCTACTGCGGCCCCCAGGCCCACCTGGCTCTGGGTTCGAGTGTAGGCTCCTGGCCCCACCTCCATAACCCTGACCACCCCACAGCAGGCACAGGGCCAGCAATGTGCCCATGTGGTATTCTGGAGACATTCGTCAGTATTTATATCAGATTTCTTGTGGGAGAGTTCCAACTCTCCTTCCCACTGAGATCCTCCAGGGCTTGGGCTGCCAGCTTCCCTTGGAGCCGTTGGTGACCCCAAAGGGGAGGGTCTTTCCTCCACTTCCAGACCCCACTGTGGAAAGCCACTGTGCCTTAGAGAAAACACTTTCACATCTAAGATTCGACATCCCGAAATCTTCCAGGTGTGCTTTCATTAGAAGCAATTCTGACCATGATAAAGCACCACAAAAGCACCCTTTCAGTTTGGTATACACGGTCCTCACAGGCTTATAGAATCATCTGGGAAATGCTGGCGAATCAGCCATCACTTGCAGAAGATGGATTGACATAGGAAATGGCCATGGGGAGGAGAGACCTAGCCGGGGCCAGGAGGAGCTCAGGGGACCCCGGGTAGCAGGAACAGAAGTCGGGTCAGGGCTCTCCAGGAAAGTGAGGAAGGACAGCAACAGGAAGGTCACATTGTGCAGGACCCCAGGGATGGCGTCTATGATCCACCTGTGCGGTGAGATGTTGGAGGCAGTTCTGGTTTTCCCAGTAGATTCCCCTCCACGGGTCCTATAGGTTTCCCCATCTAAAATTTTCATGACACAAGAGGAAATTTCCTTTTTAGTTACTGGATCAAATCTTTAGTTTGGAACGAAATCATCATTAAAGGTAGAAGCAACACATACATGGCATCTCAGTGCAGTTGACTTTGACCTGAATAACTCTAGTAGTTGGTCATCTTCCTGACCCCAATTCGTGTGTGTGTGTGTGTGTGTGTGTGTGTGTGTGTGTGTGTGCATGGTTGAGCATAGCCACACATGGTATATGGCTCCCAAAATGTGCACAGTCCCCACTTGAATGTGGGGAGCGCGGGAGCCGACTTATCTCAGGATGAGCCTGACCTGCAAAACTGCAGTGGTGTTAGGGTTTCTTCAGAGAGGGTGCTTCCTTGGCTGAGATGGTCCACCAACACACAGGCTGAGAATGACTGAAACTTTCTTACAAGATATTGGAGAACACCGAGGGGCGGAGGCCGAGGGGTGCCTAGAGCCAGTGCCAAGTGGACAGCTGTGGGAGTCCCCTGGGCTAAAACCTGCCGGTATCCCAAGTCCTTTCCTCCTAGGGCTTTGCCTTTGCTTCAGCTCTGTGGAAATGGCCTAGTGGTGGCATGGGGATGGCCACATACTCTTCAGGACCTCACATAATCTACGGACATGTCAGAGAGGGACGGGCTGATGGACAGAGGAGACCCAGACAGACATTAGCATCCAGTTGGGCTTCAACCCTGGGATACAGCCGGGCGGATAAAGAAGCGGGTGATTTGGGATTGTTCCTGACTCTCCTCTCTTGAATGCAGCTGCTATCCAGGAAATCCTGTTTACACTCCTGAGAGGAGAGTTCATTGGCCTGGTCACTGAGGGTCCTGGAGCTAGGGGGGCCCTCTGCAGGGACAAACATTCATCACTTTACTTTTCAGGAAAATGTGTGCTCTGGGCCAACCTTGTAAATATCACCAATGCCTTCTTTATTTTTTTATCTTTATTTTTTGTGTATTTTAGGAAAGGTCTACAGGGTGTTCAGGGTCTCCTTAGTAGATCGGACTCATAATAATCCACTTGTTTACAGTCTCCCAAGAGCTGGGATTACAGGCACACACCACCACACCCAGTCTCAATTGCCATCTCAGCATACCTAGGAGTGGGCCGGCATGGGAGGCCCGGGGATCGAACCCCAGCCCCTACTCCTGCTTGCAGGTACTTTAGTCCACTGAGCTACTTGGCCTGCCCAACCAATACCCTGTTTCAAATGGTCCCAGTGAGCAACACCATGTGTCCAGGGTGATTCTGTGTGAGGTTGTCATAGTCATCTCATTTTTCCTGTTAATCCATCTGTGAAGGGTAAAATGAAGGCATTCCTGAGCAATCCACATGGACCTTTCTTTTTATCACTGAGTTCCTTACAGTTAGCTGAAGGATACCAAGCTGAGATAATTCTCAACAGGTGAGGGGCTGAAACCAACCTCTTAATACAAACATGATCTACAAGTGAACAAATATTCCAGATTTCTGCAATAAACACTCAATAAGTGGAGTTTCCCTTGAGAAATGTTCTACTAGACTTTCCACCCATGGTGCTTGGAGTATTCAGAACAAATCTTAGAATGTTTGGGGGAAAAAAGCAGCCATAGAGTTTTTTGATTTTATGATAAAACCTATGTAATCATAGTTTCCTGCTTGGTTTAACTTTTAAAGTAATAGTTTTATAAATATTGTCTTTATGTTTTCCCATCTAAAAATATCTTCAATGCATCTAGGTGGAAAGTCGGTATTCTTGAACTGCTTAACTACTGCCTGAGCCTGGAGCTCTGCTCTAATTGTTTATTCCAGTCACAGTGGGGTCAGGGTTCCCCCACCCAGGGACCGGGAGATGCACCTGTGGTGTGACTCAGGCTGGCGGGTTCCGTAGGAGCTGCCTGCATGGACTGTTGTATACCAGTGGGATGAGCAGGGCCACGGGAAAGGAAGGGAACAGTCCTTGTCCTGTCCTTGGAGTGCTCAGGATCAGAGGCTGAGACAGGATGAAATAAGCAGGAAAGATTTATATTCAAGGTGAGCCTGGCCTGACTGGAGTTGACTGTGTAGAGGAACAGAGCCTTGAAGAAGCCAGCAGTCCCCAACCTGGAGACCACCTGGAAAAACAAGGAAGAGCTAGAAAGCCCTCTTGTTTCACTTTCCAATTTGTAAAGCTCGTGTTGCACTCCCATGGTGCACTGGGGCCCGGAAGAACAGAGAGTACACGCTGTGCTTGTACATCCGCCCCTGAGAGCAAGGAGGGCTATCAGAAGGCTTCGCCCCGCCCCTTCCCACTGTGCGTGATGCAGCTGTCCACCTAATGTACGCCGTCACTTAAGTAGTGCTAAGCATCCGGGAGGGGCTCTCACGGGCTGTTGTGCCTGGCATCCACCCACATCTGCCATTTCTTTCACCTTCTGGGCCCACCCACATCCCCCACCAGTTCTCATGGCCTCAACGCTTCCATTTCAGCTGCCCTGAGCAATCCCGTGCTGGATGAGCACACTGTGGACATCGAGATTGGCTTCGAGAATGTGTCCTTCCTGGAGCATCTCAAAGCTCAGCTGCGCAGGCTCAGTTTTCCAATTCAAGCAGAAGGCACTGCCCCAACGACTGACATTCTGAGCATGGAGGTCACAACAGGTGAGTGAGAGTCCTATGGCTTTTGCACAGGTGGCAGGGCATGTCTGGAGAAGGTGGTCTAGAGCCTTCCCATTGGAGTGCTCTGCTCAAGAGGCAAGGACAAGGACTGAGGGCTGCGTGGCTTCATAGCCTCCAGGGTGGAGTCTGCAGCCAGGGCCTACTTATTACAAATGGCAGCCGGAGGTTTGCTTAGTGGTTTCTATGAGTGTTGTGGTAAACTGGCTCTGAGATATGACCAGGTCCTTGCTGACAAACTACTAGATCCTCTCTCTGGGCATCAGTAATCACAGCAAGGACTCATCCAGGATATTGAACAGCAGTAAGTTATCTTCCTTGTGGTATCGTAGATCAGTGAGTGGACCAGAAGCAAGGTGTTAGAGCCTCCCAGATCATGGATTGGACTTTCAGGTTTCCGCGTAATGAATGCCTGGCAGTGTCTGAGGGTCGGGAACCTGTGGAAGCTGGGGTGCCTCCCTCTAGGGTATTTCATGAGGTTGTGATCAAGTTGAAGACTCCATGGAGCTGGAGAACCTGCTCCCAAATCCAAGGGTGCTACCTGAGGCTGCAGTTCCTTGGCAGCTGCTAGTCAGAGGCCTCAGTTTCCTATGAGGCAGGCCTCTACAACAGGTCTTCATGCTGGAGATGCCAGCATTCCCAGAAAGGACAAAGAAGGAAGAAGGGAGGGAGGGAAAAGAAGGGAGGGATGGGGGGCAGGGAAGGGAGCTACACTATCCCTTATAACCCAACTTCAGAAGCTCCACATTGTTATTTCTGCTGTACCCCACTGGTCACTAGGTCTAGGTCCACCTTGGCCCAGGATGACAGGACACTAAGAGGGTGTGAGTGTCCAGGACCCAAAGGCTGACAACCACACACTAGGTCTAAGTTACTCTTCTCTAGTTTCTGGGACAAATAGCAGACACCAAAAATGAAGGAAGGAAAGGTTCATGTAACTCCTGTTAGTGGTGGTTTCAGTCCATACTCAGCTGGCTCCAAGGCAGAGCAGCACAAGGCAGACAGCAATTGTTCAAGGGGCATCAAAAAGCAAAGAGCAAAGGGAGTGGCCGCAGCTCAGGCCCTAGCTAGCCTCTCTCCCCTGATTATATTATAATGCAAATTACCTGCTCCAGGACAGGTGTAATAGCCACACCCACAATAATCAATCACAAACTCCAAAAGCCACCCCATGACTGCATGAGGCTTTCAGGGGATACCTAGACGCTAATCATAACATACTCCATGTCCAAGGTCTGTTTATCATCACAAACATGAAGACCATGTGCTGTTAGGCATGACCATCCTGAGGGTGCCCCAACCACCACTGTCACTCATCAGTCACCCCATGCTCAGAGCCACCATCTTCCCGAGGTCACACCTGTGGCATAGTGATGCGTATGTGTGCATTCCAGGGGCCTCCTGTAGGGCCATGTGAAATTGTAGCCAGATTCCCCACCCATGTAGGCCTTCCTATCTGCAGGGCAGAGCCACTGCCTACCTTTCTCTTCCCTCTGGTTCATGACAGTGTGCACCCCCTCCGGAAACGAACTCTGGTGCTCCTGCGAATCAGGCTACGAGTGGCCTCGGGAAACATGCATCCACAATACTGTGTGCCAGGAGCATGGCAGTGTTACCTCAGGGAATCCCTGCAGCTGCCTGAAAGGACTCCCTCCCCAGGGACCGTTCTGCCAGCGCCCAAAAGGTAACTGCTCCTTAGGTGTTCGTTCACCCGGTGCTCAGTCATAGCCCAGTTGCACATTTCTCTGTTCTGACTGTCTTCAAACACTAATGCAAGATTGTCATTTCAGTTCTTACCCTGAAAATGAAAGTCAGGCTGAACGTGGGTTTTCAAGAAGACCTGCTGAACACGTCCTCTGCCCTCTACCGATCCTACAAGACTGACCTGGAAAGAGCAGTAGGTTTAGGCCCCAGCAGCCTCTTCACCCACAAATGCTGGGCTCAACTCTGTCTCTTTGATTCCCAGTGGATGGCTTGCTTGGCTCAGTCATGATCTTTGTGTGGAGTCGCAGTCATTCACATCTATCTGGGCTGGAGACTTTCGAAGCGCTAAATCAGACACTCTCAGACAACAATCCCCTTCACCCCAGCTACAGCTGTCGTGGGGGTGGGGTTCAGACATGACCTGATAGCATCGGGCCGCTAACATCTACTGAGATCTCTCGGCGACTCTACTCTTCCCCATGCTTCATGTGTTGGAAACCCTGACACCTTTCAGGCAGAGCGACCCAAGCCTGACACAGAGGGCATGGGGTGTGCCTGCCCTGGAGCCCACTGGGCTTTCAGATCTTAGCCGTGCACCTTGGCTGCCAGGCACTGTTCTTCAGGACGCTGCCTCCATCAGTTCCTTTGATCTTAAGGAAGCTTTGGTTAACTCATTCGGAACACAGCTTCCCAGCTGACACAGAACCAAGTCTCCCAGGTGGGGTGAGGCTGTGACTCTCCTAACACCTCAGTCCTGGAGCAGCCTCCTGCCTGCCCCAGGGAACCACGCAGAGATGCCGTTTTCCAGGGTGCCATGGTGGAGCAGTGGGTCCCTCGGGAGAGCTCGTGACTTCTGCTGTGACCATCTGGCAGTATGGTCACTCTGCCTAGCAGGGGAGCCCTCCACACACATACATACACATGCATGTACACACATGTACCCACCCACACGCCATCCCCACCACACACACAACTAGGTGGTTTAACTTTAAGGACAGAGAAAGAAAAAGCTACCTATTAATCTTTGGGTATCTGGCCCAGAGCTTTGTGCAATGTAATTGCCCTGTAGCAGTGACTTAATCAAATAGCATCTCCTTTGGGCTTGGCATTGAAAGGAACTCAGTTTATCAAAACCCACAAGAACTCAGCCGGTGCTGTAGTGCTGTCGAGGGAGGATCAGACACTGTAGAACCACAGGCTGTGCCCAAACTCCTGGGGAAGGGTGTCTTTGAGCAGGATCCTTGGGGTTGCACCCGAATCCAGTACCACATGTGCAAGGCAGAGGTGAGATATCTGTGACTCCTGTCCCACAGGTGTGGAGACGGTGTCCCATCCAAGTACTACGGGTGTCCCATCCAAGTACTACGGGCTTAGCTTCCGAGATCAGAAGGGATAGGGTGCGTTCAGGGTGGTATGGCCGTAGACTCTTTTTTTTGGGAAAACTGAGGATTGAACTCAGGCACTTGCACTTGCCAGGGAAGCGCTTATTCCACTGAGCCATCTCCCCAGCTCCGGAGACTGTGAAAACTGGAACCTTCACAGGCTTGGCCTCACTGCTTTTCCCAACCCCTCTTTCCTCTTCCACTAGGGTCCGATGGCTGTCCCTGCCCTCCCCACTCCCACCCCATCTCCTGTCCTGGCCACTTCCCTGAGGGTGACACGTCTGCATACTTGCTCTAGCATCGGATGCTTCCCCAAGAGCCCAGATGGGTATAGGTAGTCTGACTGCTTCAGAGGTCTGCAGATGTCAGAACGACAGGATATTTATGAGAAGGTCTCTGCAGGGTGGTGAGGACCACGTGCTTCCAGCTGTGGCTCAGATCTGTGCAGCTCTGGCCAGCCTCTGATACATGACACTCACTTGCCTTTTTTTATTTTTCCAGTTCCAGGAGGGATACAGGAATTTATCAGGCTTCCAATCAGTGACTGTGAAAGAGTTCACGTAAGAATGCTGTCATCTACTTCTTTCTATTTGATGCAAAACCAATATATCAGTGAAGGAAGAAAAACATTAATGTGCAGAGTCTGGCTGGGGGAGAAGACTAAGACCAGATGGAGGGATTAAAAACAGACAGAGGAAGTTCTGAGAGGGCTCTCTCACCCTTCCTGGCTAGATGTCCCTGTTTAGAAATCAGCAGAGCAGAGAGGTGCGTTCATTTGATACATGCAAGAATATCACACACCAACATATGAGTTTGTAGTCTAGTGAGTTTAAAGACATAAACATGAAATAATCCAGTGGGACGTTGCCTTTATTCTGGAAGATGCTGCCAGCAGTCACGTCAGCAGGGTTCCGGGCTTGTCCCCACCCTTGAGGGGGTCTGTATGCTTTCAGAGCTGTAGCTGCCCATCTTGGAAGTCAGGGGTCTGTCACGGAGCAGCAGGGCATTGCCTTCATTTAGCATTAGTCTGGGTACTGACCACGGAGCCCACCAGGCTATGGCCACAGGCAGCAGATCCCGGCCCAGGGCTGTCTCACCACGATTGGACTGTGGGACTCTGTCCACTGGTTGCCGCCTGGCAGCAAGTTTCGTTTCCACTCCCTGCCTGTGCCTGCGAGCCCTGCCTCCAACTGAGTTTGAAGATAGGTTTGTTTATGTTGGCAATTGCTGAGCCTAACAGTTCCCTGGGTGGTTGCTACTATTTTGTTTTCTTGAGCAAATAAACTTCAAGAAGCTGCACTCCCAGAGGCCAGTTACTACTTTGCTGAATGGCGTGATTTCTCTCCAGCAAAGGCAGTGTGGTTGTGAGCTATGAACTCAAGACTACAACCCTCAAACCTGCAGAGATCCAAAAGGCCAACAGCCGGGTGCTGGACAACCTCAACCAGACCTACAAAGTGGATGAAAGCTCCTTTCAAGGGGTGAACAGTAAGTGGCACCACTGTGCTTTCCGTGCGTCGATTCCATGCAGCTTGGTAGTGGCTGCAGCTAAACCTAGGAAGTCACAAAGCAACGGGCGGCTTGGGTATCAACCTTTCTTCCTCTTGGGCCACTGCCTGCCAGCCCGGCTCACATCTCTACCCTGGAATGCAGGGCTGAGGGGTCAAGAACATCCAAAGATGTAAAGGATGGGAGATGCTCACAGTAGGCCATGACACCAAACAGGATCACCTTTGGCCACAGCAGAGGGTCTCGGCCTCCCCTGCCCTCACACCTGCAAGGGCCAAGGCCACCAGGGGACTCCCATGCATGGGAATGCTCCAGAGCCACCGCCTTAGAGCCTATGTATGAGAGCATTTTAAATGCTTTCCTCCCATTGGTCAATGGGGTACAGCATGGGTCTCTGGTCCCTACAGGCACATTCCTACTTGGAGCCAGGAGGGTGAGAGATGACGGGCAGGGCCACTGGCAGCTGCTCTGTCCTTGGCGCTGTGGCCTGTGGTGTGGTTGAGGGCGGTTCTTCTCTGTAGCCCACAGGGTAGGGCAGGTCCTGAGGACACTGGAGGCACAGGTAGAGGTAGGAGCCCCAGGTCGGGAGTCAGTTTGGCCTTGTAGGCAGCTTCTAGCCTGTGCTGATGTCGTTGAGTGTCGGGCCATCTCTAGCATAAACTGTTCAGAGAGTACAACCAGCCCAGGAAGCATCAGAGATCTCTGCAGGGGGATGGAGCATTCTATCGGGGTGATCTAGCAGAGTGTACTTTCAGGAGACACAGGGAGCAATACAGATCAACCCAGGAGACTAACAGAAAATGGAATAAAAGGCCTAAAATATGGGCTCACACAGCACAGCCTCAAGACCTGGCCCTCCTGGCCCCAGCACTGGCCAGGCACCGAGCTTTCTCACTAGTGCTCTCTGTGTGGAGCCAGGGTGTGCACCGAATCTCACCTTCACTGTCCAGACGTCACTTTCTCTGCCACACAGGTGACACAGCAGAGGCTCAGCGTGAGCCACACGAGGCCCGAGCCAGGTCTTATACAGGCATGGGAGACCTGTTGCCTCAGCGTTGAATGTGATTTTTTAAATTTTTACTTCAACCAGGGGCCTTGAAAAAGTGTTAAGAAATATAGTTAAGCACTGCTATTTGGCCTAGAACACCAACCTGCTCACTCCACAGTGCTGCATGTGATTTATCGCTATACTTATAAGGTGTGGGGGTCTGGCTGGACATCCAGCCTCATGGGGACCTCGCTAAGTCCCTCTATCCTCCAGCTTCCTCTGTACACATGACTTGTGGAGAACGGGATGCCCTAATCTCCCTAGGGAGACACATATTGCATAACCAGAGGACACTCAAAACACACATACAAAAAACATTGTGTGTGTGTGTGTGTGTGTGTGTGTGTGTGTGTGTGTGTGTTTTTATCAAGGAAGTGACTCAATTCGGGGATTCTGGGGGAATTTTACTACCTGAGCAGTAATAATAGCCACGGTTTCTCAAGTCCCCTGCCAAGGTCACTGTTGGGGTGCTATTGTCCAGATGGGGTGAGCTGAGCAGGTCTCCCAGGGCCCACAGTCACCCATGGGACCAAATCAGGATGCACGTCCACACCGATCAGTCTCCAGTGCACCTACTCTGAAGGGTCCGTGGAGACTGGGTCTTTAAAAATCCTTACTTCCCCAGCATGCTTTATTTATTCCTGATAATTAATTTGTTTTTTCATCTCTAACTCAACAAAGGCTCAGGTCAAAGCTCTGAGGGAATCCAGGCTCAGAATTATTGATAAGAAGCCATTGACCTGATTCCAGCCGGCAGCTAGCAGTCTCTCATTTGTTAGCCTGTGTCCCTTTCTCAAAAACAGTGGGGCAGTTGTCCTCCTGGATGGCTTGAAATATTGAAAACCTCTTTGGTTTCCCTGTTCCTTCCATTAGGAACACCTAAGTGACCTCAGGACACATGGAACAAAGAGCTAGACCTGAAGCCATGCCCCTCCTAGCTGGCAGGCTGCACTTCCTGTGGTCTCTGGTGGTGGCCCCAGGACCCTGAGTGGGAGATGCTGCGGATGCCCAGGGCACTGTGAATCCTGGCCTTGGTGGCTCTCGCTGAGCAGCGTCCTTTGTGTTTATTTGCTCCAAGGCCTTAATGCCCTTTCTTTGAATTTCCAGATGAAACCAAGATAACCACCATCCCAGCAGTCATCTTCGAAGGGGACGAGGTGGTCGTGGAGTGTGAAAACGAAGCTCTGTCCACCAACGTGTCATGGTTCTATGGCAAAGAGCGCTCCAGCCTCTCCATGCTCCAGAACAGTAGCAGATACTGCATGTACACCACTGTGCAGCTGAACTCCGTGTCCCGGCTCACCATCCACAACTTCACTCAGGAAGATGCAGGTGAGGAGGCCAAAGTGGCACTGGCAGGGGCAGATGTGCCACTCGGACAGTCCTAAGCGTTCCAGAAAGGGATGTCTAGACATGGAGCTTCACCATAAAAATCTCCTCTCGTGGCTTTTGCCTTTACATGCCTTTAAGATGAATTGATTTTTATTTTGTACATAGCATTATTTTATTATGAATTTTTTCCATTGAATCTAAAACATCTGAAGTAGATTCATTGAACCAAAATGACATGACAAGCGGTGCATATCTCATGTATGGAGTTGGGTGCATTCCTGGGCCGTCCCCAAGCCAAGAGTGAGCACAGCCTTCTCTCTGCCATCGGATCTTCCTTTGCTCTACTGCAGTGCCTTTCTCTGCCTTCCTGCCCACCCCAAGCAGCTCCAGAAGCCTAAAACTTAATTCAGAAACTTGAGATGGGCCCAACACATCTTGCAATTTAATGAGCCCATTGTAAACCAGAAGCCAACCTTTCTTGTTCTTCACCTACCAAGGAGGACTACTACAGACCTACTGGTCTCTTGGTTAAGCCCAATTTTACCACAGGACTAAGAAGGATCCCGAAGTGATCCACACTCTTCTATTCTCCAGGGCTTTCCAATGTTACCTCTTCCAATCCTCTTGTTTCTCACTAGCAAAATCCATGAATCTGCAGTTTCCCTTAGAGCTCCTCTCAGTTTCCCTTCAGGGCTCCGGGACTCCATGCATTGCACAAACGTGTCCTGGGTGGTCCTGGAGAAGCGGCTCAGGGTTGGCCCAAGTCTCAGGGCTGCAAACAGGGAGCTCCACAGAGAGCAGCCGTGTTCTCGGAGCCGGGCGGGCAGGCGTCCTGGAAGGGGATGCATATGGGAGTAGTCCCTGTAAATGATCCCTTGTATCCTATGCAGGTCTCTATGCTTGCAAGCTGGTAGTAGATATCTTTGAATTTGCGAATGAAAAACGCATCAACGTGACACCCTTCCGAATTCTGGCAAATGAAACAGCGGAAGTGAAGTGTGACAACAGTCCTGTGTCGCTGAGGTGCTGCAGCGAGAGGAAGGTGAACTGGAGCACGATAGAGTGGAAGCAAGAAGACAGCGTGAGCATCCCAGGTGCACACCCCCCCACACACACACTGTGGCGCAAGGGCGGAGTGGAAACGCACAATGGGGTGGGGGACTCGGACGACTGCTTTCTTCTGATCGTCAGACCTTGAGAGAAACCTGGGTGTTCTCTCTCTCTCTCTCTCTCTCTCTCTCTCTCTCTCTCTCTCTCTCTCTCTCTCTCGGATCTGACCTCCAGTTTACACTACTGTACAATGGTGCTACTAAGGAGAAGCAGCAATCACGAATGTTTTCTGTAGTGGTTTATGATTGCTTTTTAATGACATTTGCACTTGACCACTAGTTTGAAGCCGGCCTTTTATCTTCAATATGTAAGTGAAGAAACAGAAGTCCACGTACAGTGACTTATCCAAGGTGGTCATGATGTAAAAAGAAAATAATTAGGACTCACCATAGATCTTGTCTCACAAGGTGTTACCCATCCTGTGGCCAGCACTGGTGCAGGCTGGCCTGGCATATTGGATGGAAGAAGTTTATTTTCTACCTGGAAACCATGTAAGATCAGTCGGTTCTCTTCATCTCTGAAGAAAAAAAAAATCTTCAAACTAGAATGTGGCTTTACTTATGCACTTCATCCATGCATGTGCCTTTATTTTACAAAGCCTCTTCTCTTGGACTACATGACTTTAAATATATCAAAAGATCAATTGACATGCAGATTTTTCTGAGCACATCTACTCTGCAAAGCAGGCTGACCTGCAGGGTGTCTTAAAGTTGCAAGAAGAATAGAAAAGACATAGGATAACTTAGGGCTGGCCAGATAGCTCAGCAGACTAAAGGGCCTGCTTAGGCAGGCGTAGGGAGTATGGTTTGATTTTTGGCAGCACATGCTGTGCCAGCCCCGCCCCCAGGGCTCACTGAGCTGGCGACTGAGACTGGGAGTGGTGGCGTGTGCCTGTAATACCAGGGCTTAGGAGGCTGAAAACAAGAGGATCTGTGTAGTAAGACCCTGTAGACCCTATACAAAAAAAAGAAAAAGACATAGAATAACTTGAAAATACCACACCTGACACATTGAGTCACTTCTGAGATTTTAAGGAAGAGGTGTAGGCATCCTGCAGGCACTGCCAGGTGGTCGAGAGAGCTTGCACGGTCCCTGTGGTCCTGCCAGGGAAGCCTTCCATGCCTGGATGGGGCCCCCCTGAGAGGAACCAGGAAATCTGTGCTGCAGTGCTCCAGACCTGCTCTGTGACATTCTGAAAGCCCAGGGCTCACAGCAGGCTGAGTCCACTGCACCAGAACAATGGGCTTCCTGCCACAGGGCCACTGCCCCAGGACCTGGCTGTCAGCTGTCTGATGAATTCAGCCTTTGCACTGGCTCGAGGCCCTTCTTCCTCCACCCCTTGGCAACCTCTCTCTGCAGCTCTTTCTCCAACTATCATACTTGCTTTCAGGACCCAGTTTTGTAGGAAGGAAGTGTGGTAGCACACCATGTCCCTCTTCCCAAGGGGTCCCAAGCTCACTGTGTGAATGACTCTCATTTATTTTTATCTTTAGTTTTTATAACTCCTTCTGATTGCTGCATCAATCTTTTTATTCTTTTGGTGGAACCGGGGATTGAACTCAGGCTCTTGAGCTTGCCAGGGAAGTGCTTATTCTACTGAGCCATCTCCCTGGCCCGACTCTCATTTCTAAGCTGTTCTGAAGTGAGAGAAGACTGGAAGTGACGAGCAAGAGGAGCCTTTCTGGCTGTGTTTTTGGGAGTTTTGTTTTGTTTGTTTTCTGGGTTTTGGAAACACAGTCTCTCAATGTCTAAGACTGGACTTGAACCCAAGATGCTTCTTCCTTGGATTCCTGAGTGCTTGGATTACAGCAGGGCACCACCGTGCCCACTGAGAATTTCTGATTTTATGAACAATAACGCATAAAAATCTCTCACTGCACTGGGGAAAAGTAGAGAGATCTTCTTTAAGGATCTCATCATTATCATGAAAGTTATTGTGGATGATTCAATGCATTCAATTACAAGGCATAGTTAAAATATACAGGGAATATTTTAATACATTGCCAAGAATGAGATAAGTGGGGTCAGGGAGATGGCTCAGTAGAATAAGTGCTTCCCCGGCAAGCGCAAGGGTCTGAGTTCAATCCCTGGTAAAAAAGAATGAGATAAGTGTGCTCAAAGTTCCCTCAAAGACTTTTTTTGTGTTTGGTTGTTGCAGGGTCTCACTACACAGCTCAGACTTGTGGTGATCCTCCTGCTTTCAGCCTCCCCAGTGCTGGGATTACAGGTGTGTGCTACTACACCTGTACTTTGGCCAGTTCAGCCCACCTTGGGGGAAGGGCTGGCATGGCATGTGGTGCTGGGGATCCAGTGGCAATTTTGCCTAAGCAGGCTCTTTAGTCTGCTGAGCTATCTCACTGGTCCCATGAAGGGGACTTTTAAAAACTACTTTGAAGGGCAGGCCAGATAGCTCAGCAGACTAAAGCGCCTACTTAGTCAGAGAATAGTGGCTTGGGTTCGATCTCCAGTGTACCGTGCCCACCCTGTCCCAGGGACACTCTTGAGACGGTGACTAAGACTGGGCATGGTGGCAAGTGCTTGCAATCCCAGTGCTTGGGAGGCTGAAAACAGGAGAATCACTATGAGTCTGAACTACATAGTGAGACCCAGTAGACTCTGTACTAAATACATTTTTTTAAAAAACCCCCCCAAAAAAATAAAAAAAAAATAAAAAACCCTATTTTTAGGGTGACTAATAGCAGTACGTCTTATACTGTGATACAGTTTTAAAAACATTCGCCATGTATTGTCATCACCTCTCCATTATGATTGTTTCCATTCAGCACCTTGGTTCTGCTCACCCCTAAGGAAAGGCCTTGGACAGTGGCTGCCACAGTCCCCCCGCACTTGCGGAGGAAGGTCTGGCATGCTGGCTGTGCATGAGCTGCAGGCTTGTACTTGTCCACTCCATAGCAAGCATAGCACCATCCAGGGGACCCACTCAGCACTGCTATGCAGCGTCTGGTGCTGCTCATGCTGCAGCCCTATGGGAGCACAGAATGTCCATGTCAGCCCAGTTCTTCTCCAAGACAAGTTTACTGTCTCCATGGAGCTGGGTCCCCTCTCTGGTGATGAGATCTAGCCTGCCTACATGTATATGGTCACTGAGGGCCTGCAAGCTGCTGCTTGGTTCCCTCCACAACTGCAATTTTCACTTAACTGTAGAATCCATTCTTCAATAGACTTGTATGTGGTTATCTCACAGAGGTTTGGGCACAGATGTTTTGAGCCTGACCTGCCTTCTCTGTGAGCTGTCCTGGGCACTGTAGGGTGCTCAATAGCCACGCTGGACTCTACCCTCCAACACTAGCACTAGAGATGGGAGAGGAAAAACTGCTCCTTATCATTTCTGGATGCCCTCTTGGGAGGCCAAACGCCCCAGGTTCTGGTATCTGAAGGAGACCACAATACCAGTTTGGTATAAAGAGAATTTCTACAAGAAGCACCAGTTTACAGGCACACAGCACCACAGCCACACAGCAGAACTTTCCACTAAACCCATAGGTGTCTTTCAGGTCCACAATCAAGCTTCCCCTCATTTGAAATCACTCTGTCTCCCAGCTGAAACATTCTCCCCTTTAATTTGCCTACAACATGTTGGTATTGAGCCTGCTCCCATGGACACTTCCTACTACACATCCTTGAGATTTCTGTGTCTTTCTGCATGCATCCCCTCCTGCGTGGCTTGTTGTTGATGAAGACTTAGACAGTTGGTAGAAAAGCTGGCTTTCTAAGGGTGAGTGAGAGTCAGGAGGAGGAGAGGGAGCCACTTTAGGGGTGACCAGGCTTGGAGAAGTGGTGTTGCCAATGTGTGGAAGGCCCAAGAGGGAATGTGGATTTTGAGAGAATGATGTAGAATGAGACCGAGAGTAGAGGGTGGATTATAACCATACTGTGAATAAATGTCATACTCTATTCTAAGAACATTTTTACTTTCCTCTGTACCTCATGGTGAGATTTTCAACATAAAAGGAAAGCAAGCACTCAGCACTGTACTTTAGAAAAATAATGTTCAGGGAGAGTAAACAGTAAGCTGAAGGGCAAATTACGGGAGATATAAGCTCAGCTGTAATAGTTTCCAATGGTCAGAACTGACAGAGGGTTTTGGGCAGTGACCTTGGGCTAGGACAGCAGTGCTTCAGAAATGCAGTCCAAGAGATCCCTTAGCACTTCGCCCAAGGACAAAGCGAGGAAAGGGAAGTCATTACAGGTGATGGTAAGGTTTCCAGTCTGGGGAGCTGCCTTGGCAAGGAGAGGAAATGCAGGAAGACGTGCGGGTTTTGTCTGGGGATGAATACATCCCACGTGTTGAGTTGGAGGTACCGGAGATGTCGTCAGTGCTTGGGCATTTGCTTCTGAAGTTTCCAGCAAGGACATTTCTCTCGGAAACAGGGTTTTTCATGCCTCAATTCAGTCCAGCTAGTCTTAATTCTGTCTTAAAGTATTATCTCTCCTCTCCCATTTCTTTCTTTCTTTCTTTCTTTCTTTCTTTTTTTTTTTTTTTTTGGCGGAACCAGGGATTGACCTCAGGCCCTTACGCTTGCCAAGGAAGCACTTATTCCACTGCGCCATCTCCCTGGCCCCTTCCTCTCCCATTTCACCCTGTCCAGGAAGTCATGTCACAGAAAGCTTAAGAACTTAATCCTTTGTTATTATTTTAATGTTGAAACAGTGTTATTTAATGCCTCATTCAGCACAGCGAGGGTCAGTTCAGTCTTTAAGGTATCATTTCTCCTATAAAGCATAATTCACCCCATGCCTCAAATGTTTTTCCACCTGTCTTGCAAAGTTGGGGATGTGCAGATGCAGAGTGGCGGTGGGGGAGATGGCTGGGGAAGGAAGGAGTGGAGATACTTGAAAAAAGAGGGTCGATGTCTGGAGCCCAATATCCCAGGTAACACCAGTGAGTATGGAGGGTGCAGTAAGAAAGGAGCTGAAAGGAGGCCCAGAGGGAGGATGATGACAGAGAGAAGCAGGAGAGGCCTGGCGGGAAGTCCCCAGTGTGGGAGCCAAGAAGAGGCCCCAGAAGTGGGGAGAGGAGGCCACTGTGGGCCTTGCAGGGCACTTTTGGTAGAGGCTGAGGAAAGCCCATGGTGAGCCAGACTTGGAGAGTTAAATGTGTTTTCTCTGACATAAGAAGTCCAATGTATAAATAAATGAATAAAATAAAGAAGCAATGATAGGAAGCTGGTGGGTAGACATGAGACAAGGAAGCGTTCAGGATGAAGGAGTCCAAGAGAAGGAGGAACTGGAAATGACCAAGGTATTACAGGCATGGACCACTTTCCCCAATTGAACATCACCACTCTGTATTTTAAACATGCATGGGTGGTGACAAAAGAAGGCCAATTACAAAGATTTGATGAGAAGTGGGAGTTGAGGAATTCAGAGGTGTGGCGGAAGATGCAGAAACGTAGTGGAAGAACAAGAGGTGGCCGGAGAGCCTCAGCACTGGGGACAGATCATTGTGGGAAGGGAAGGTTTGGGGGCAACTGTGGCCAGATGGAAGAAGAAAGAGGACATAAAAGGCACGGGAAAGGAAGGGTGATGGGGGGTCTCGGGACTCAGAGGAGAGGGCTTTGCAGGTAAATGGAGGGTTCAGCCTACTAGGGCGTGAGGGATACTTGTATCTGTGAGGAATGGGTGGAAACTGGATGATTTGATCAGAAGCTAGGAAGGAAAGCCAGCTCCACATCCATCAAACATTTCACAGAGCTAAAGAGGCCGATATACTTTGGCATGAATCAAGAGGCATATTATTATTATTTTTTCTTTCTGTTTTTCAAGGCAGTGTTAGAAGAGTGTCTTAGGAAGGGTTGGTGGAAGGCAGGGTGGGAGGGGAGAGCACAGAGGGACAGGAGCAGGAAAAGCTCATGGACCAACCCAGAGCCCTAGGCCAGGGGCAGGATACGCAGTGGGCGTGAAATCTCTGGAAATGACAGGGAAGGGAGGGGCTCAGCTGCTGGGGACTGGGAAAGCATGAACGTTTTCGCCAAACCATACTCGGTGTAGGTCAGAGCCAGAAAGCAGCGGCAGTATGGGAGTCGCTTCTGTACTTGCAGGACATAAGGACCAGGACCTGGACTCCAGCTGCAGCAGGTACACCCTGCAGGCCAACAGGACCCACTGCCCGGCAACAGTCAACTACACGTGCGAGTTCTCCAGTGGCTACGGAGCCAGGGGCAGCAAGACCATAGAAGTGACATTCATCCCTGTGGGTAAGAGCTCTGGCCTTAAAGAGTTGGCCATGGAGATGCCACACTCCTCGTGAGCCACCGGGAATACACGGGCAAGAAAGCCAGGTGTTCCTGACAGTGGCCTGTGGTTGGAGCCAGCCACATGCTAGGAGACAGGAGAGGTTTCCCTCTCTGCCCTTTAAATTCAGATGGAAGCTTGTAAATTGGGAAGGGCAGGACTGAGGAACCCAGCTGCAGGGAGGATGGGCTGCACCCTCCTGTAAGGCAGAAGAGGAGAAGAGGAGTATGGGTTCCAATCTGTCCTTTCTGGTCACCATGAGAAAACCCCAGGGCTTTCACCTCCTTCCCTCTCAGCTCCTTCTTCCCTCCAGACAGCCTTACTCCCTCCTCCTCTACTCATTTCCCTGCTTCCTCCTCTCCCACTTCATCAGTTCCATAAATAATGCTGCGCAAAGCTTTGATAATTGAATATTTGGTTCTGCTTTTAAAATAGAAGCAGTGCCTTTTAATGCCTCAATTCGATCTAGGCAGTATCAACTCAGTCTAGTATCAATTCAGTCTAGTGAGTATCAATTCAGTCTAGGCAGTATCAGTTCAATCTCACATACACTGTTTCTCTCACAGAGCATTGTCATGTCACCCATAGCTGCAAATGTTTGCCCACCTGTCTTACAAAGATACCACTGGGCTACACCATCAACCCTCTTTTTCAAAACTTAGTGAAAGGACTGCTGAAAACAGCCCCCACTACTCTTATTTTTGTTTTCTGCAATTCTGACTTGGCGTTTATGAGACAACCACATCTGGTTTCCGTGGGCCACATGACTGGCATGACTTCCAGACATACTCACCTAGGGCACTGAGGAGCTCAGCATGACCTCATCCTTACCCAAGCTCCTCTCTGCAACTCTGCTCCTATGTACAAATCTGCTGTGGGTCTTAGAGACACATTTCTGCTTTGCTGAACAAACTCTGGTCTGGAAGCGGGGATGCCAGAGAGGCAGACTAGGGTTCCACTTGCCTTTGTGTTCCCCTGTCAGAAGTAGCCCAGTCTGAAGGAGCTGTCTCCGGATCCCCATGGGCAGTGAGGGCCACGTTATACCATGCAGGAGTGGCTTTGAGCTGGATCTCAAGGCATGAACCCCAGCCACTGAAGGCTGTGTAGGAAAGACCTGATTTCTTTTGATTATTATTGAAAACAGCATTTTACATGGGAAAAGCAGCCCAGTACAGTGGGCTCAGGGCACGAAGCTCTCCTGCTTCAGAAGAGTAAAGTGGATGACTTTCCTGAAAGTCACCCATGTAGAAGATGAGCTCCAAGAGACTGGGAAAGACAGCAAGCTATATTACACACAGCGACCCCACAACTGTGGAACAGGGGTGAAGGAGGGGCCAGGAGGAAGAGGAGGAGGAGACAGGGAAAATGATCAAAGCGTGCTCTGCACGGGTACAACTCTGCCCAAATGAAACCCATTAATCTGTGAAACAGATTTAAAAAGACAAAACAAAGTAGAGCCAAGCCCAAAACAGTGGGACAGTCCTGTGACTTCTATATTTGTAACAGCCTTGTGGACATTTTCGATGACAATTTCTCACAAATCTGAGGAACTTTCCAGAAAGCAAGGAAATACAGCTACTTACATAATGAATTATATTCATAATATAAGTATATAATTTTGAGTGAATTATAAGTATATAATTTTCATTATGTAATTATATAGAGTTAATGTTAAGGTGCCTAACAACCTAGTTGACCCAAGTGAATGCAAATACAGTAACTCAGGCACCAAAATTCATGCTTCCCCAACCGGAAATGCAGTTCCAGGATTCTCGCTGGCTCGTTAGGCCCTGACAGCATAGTGGGTCTAACGCTAAGGGCAGGGGACATGGAGACAGGAGAGCAAAAGGCTCCCCCTAGAGGGCTCCCAGCATTCCAGAGATGCTGAGATGGAGGAGCGCCGCAGGCTGCGGAAAGGTAGGTTGCCAGAGTAGAGGGAAAGCAGCTTCAAGAACCGAGCCCGATCCTCCCAGAGGCATCCGCAGGAGGTTGGAGGGGAGCTGGGATGAAGTCAGCACCCCTAATGTGCACCTTTCACCCTGCTGACCATCAGGAGATAATTCCACCCACAAAGGGGAAGTTCACGAACTCATGAGGCACACGACGGAAGAGAGTAGGCACACGACGGAAGTGAGTACAGTTCAGAGTGCCACCAGCAGCAGCCTAGCCACCCAGAAAGCCCGGGAGCAGCCAGGTACCAACCGCGCGCTGACATAGTGCAGTTGTCACGCCCCGTGTGCTGTCTCTCTCCTAAGTTCTGCTCGTGTCGATGTCACTAGAAAGACGAAACCATGGACTCGTGGTCAGCTTCGTTTTATTTGTCTCGTTTGCATTCTTTCAGCCAAACTAACAATAACCCCGGACCCAATTTCTGTTTCTGAGGGACAAAGCTTTTCTATAAAATGCACCAGCAATGTGCGTAACTATGAAGACGTGTATTGGAACACTTCTGCTGGGATTAAGATACACAAAAGGTTTTATGCCACGAGGGAGCATCCGGGTGGAACGGAGTCAGTGCTGACAGTGCAGACGTCGACCAGGGAGTGGAACGGTGAGTGGACAGCCACACTGGGTCATGAGAAGCTTGAAGGGACAGGTGCCATCCTGGGTCCACTTGGATGCTTATGCTGGTCACTCACAGTAGATGTAGCAGCCTCTGGGGACAATGACACTGTGTCATCCTACAGATATGGGAGATGAGGTCCTGCAGAGATACCACTTACCCCAAAACAGAGAACGGGGATTAGATCCTAAGAACCAGGCTTTCCATCACCAGCTCTCTTCAAAGCCTCCTCATCCCCACATGTAGAAAAGGTCATTCATTTCCTGAGTTCATGGAAGAGCCTTGGAATAGAAATTGGGAGGACAATGTGCAGTCCTCGTCTACTGCCTACCTCGTGTCAGCCTCTTGGTTTTCTTTGAGCCTAAGTGTTTATTTAGAGAGTGACTGCTTAGTCCATCAGGTAAAGAGAACCAGGAGACCAGGCAGGCATGTTCTCCTCTGTCTGGGAAGGTTTCATGAGCCCTTTTCCACACAGGGCAGGGAAAGCTTAGCCTCTGCTCAGCCTTTCCAGTAAGTGTTTCTCTCCACCTCATTTGTCTTCCTCCCACTCAGGAACATACCACTGCATATTCCAATATAAGAACACATGCCACGAGGCCACCAAAGATGTCACTGTCCACCCACTGCCTCTGGAACCAAACATCATGGTCGATCCTTTGGAAGCCAGCGGTCTGTGCTCAGACTCCCATCACTTCAGGTGCTGCGTGGAGGAGGATGAGAACTACACCGTGATGTTCGAAATGGAGTCTTCCTTCTTTCCTGCTGGTAAGAGGAGGGTCATGGACCCCTTGGGTAGAGACACTGCCAGAGTCAGGATGTAACAGAATAGAGCCCCATGAACATTCGTGATTTTGCTCTGTGGTGTGAGGTGACACCTACTGAGGCTGGGACGCTGGATCCTTCCTGTGTAGAGGGAGCTGTGGAGGGCGGTATTGAGGCTCCGTCGTGGGAGTCGCCAGCTGAGCAGTCTGATGGGCTCTTCCTAAGCTGCAGGAGAGACACCAGGACTGGAGCTGGAGCTTGGGGCAAATTGCCCAGTGCACACGGTGCCCTGGGTTCCAGCTCTAGGACCATGTAAGGAAAAGCAAACAAGAATCCTCTTCAGTGTATCATGAAACATGTAAGAAAGTAAGAGGAATAACCAAGCACTTGTACCATAGAGGAAAAACAAATAGAAATGGTACTTCAGAATAATGCTGGGCCAGTGAGCTGGGGACATGGTTCAGTGGCAGAGGCCTTGCCTTGCATGCATAAGGTCCTGGGTCTGATCCTCAGCACCACATACCAAAAAAAAAAAAAAAAAAAAAAAAGAGCCGAAGCTTCCCCATAGGCAGTTGTTAACGTCAGAGACCCAGAACCTTTGGGGGAGGGGCATTAAAAAAAAGCTTTTTCTACATTCCTGAGGAAGCTTGCCCCAGGGCACAGTGTCAGGACCTTCCAAGAGAACACGCTAGCCAAAGAAGAGGCCAGGAGGCAGAATCCTTTGGCTTGAATGGAGGGGTGGCCTCACTGCTCGCTGGGCAGTGGCAATTGTGACTGCCCTGCTCTCCACAGCCTCAGGCTGTGGATGATCACTCTGTAGGAGGGTCAGGGGCAACAAGCTAAAGAGCGCGCAGCTTAAAGCTGTCCATTTATTAGCATCCCTCAGGATTCCTGGATGAAAAATCAGCCATAGGTGAGCTCATAATCTCAAATGTCACAGCACAGGTTTCTTCCCAAACCCATTATTAAAAAAAGAAAAAAAATTGAGGATTTGCTCAAGGTAAGACATCATACAAATCAAGGAACGGAAAAGAAAAGAACACAGGCCCGTATTTCAGTACGTGGAAAGACCCATGTCACGGACGCCCATGCACACAGCAATAAGTATTGGAAATGAGCGGTCTGGGTTGGGAGCATCGTGCCCGTGTAGGAAAGCAAGACTCTAGGAAAGCCTGGAATGTTTAGAGAAGACTGCACAGAAGCTGGCTGAGCCTTGGAAGACGCAAGGATGGAGAGGAGCAGGGGTGTCCTCTATGGGAGGTGTGGCTTGGTGATGAGGAAAGGCCCAGAAGAAGTGACTATGAACCAGAGCGGTGCAGGCAGCGTGGGATGAAGCGAGTGCGCACAGGGCATGATGGGTAGGCGAAGGGATCCTAGCACTGCTGGATGTGAAGCGTGTTCCTCGGACAGGCTTATTCATTTTGGGTTGTCCTGATGCAGCCTGTGCTTGGGACCCTTGAGTCGTGACTTCCTGTTCTCCTCATCTCTATCTTCAGCCAGAGAAGTGCAGGGAAAGCAAGTGTGCTACAAATACAGCTCCACTCCCAGCCCAGTGTCCCAGTGTCCCAAAAACATTGATGTGTTCTGCCACTTCACGAACGCCGCTAACAGTTCGGTCCGCAGCTCTTCCATGAAGCTGAGTCTGGTACCCGGTAAGTGCATTTTAAGTCGTGCCTCACTCATCCGTGCATTCTCTAGAGATTGGAGGCCTGTGGGGAATCAGGCAACGACCGTGGAAGCGGCTTTGATGGCATTGGAAAGCAAGGAGCCTCTTAGGCAGGCGCAGGGACCGGGGTTTGATTTCTGGCATAAAGCGCCGGCCCCACCCCCGGGCAAATGTTGAGATTACTAAACTTGGCACTGCAAGACCTCCAGAGACTTTGTGTTTTCTGAGTTATGTGTCCAACCAGTGGACTTTCTTCCTCACTTGGAAAGTCACTGATTCAACCTGCTGGGACAGGATTGCATCTCCAGGGCATATTAGGGCCACTGCCTGCTGCCAGCCCTGTCCATGGAATGCTTCATGCCTGGGTGGAAGGCAGAATAGTGAGAACTACAGGATGACTCTGTCTGCTCAGAATCAGGCAACATCAAGGGCCCCGTGGCGTGCACTCCTCGTTTGTGAATCAGTCTGATAAAATTTGGGGTGCAAGCTTTGTCCCCAGGGTACCAGAGTCTGAGATGCCTAGTCATTGCCTCTGGATGGGCTCTGGGAGTAATCACTGCACCCCATGTTGACCTGTGGAGGTCCATAATCACTGTGATTTTGGTTTATGTTGGCAGCAGCTCCCAAAGTCCCCCCAGGCAGTGACAGAGACCTTGTTAGCAGTGGCAGCTCAGCAGTGTGATGGTAGGGTAGGCCCTCGCCCTCCCCACTCCCTCACACACTCCCCTCTCTGCACTGTCCTGCCACCGCTGCCCAGCAACCTTGCAGCACCCAGCCTGACAGCCCGACTGCCCTGTCTGTCGCTGTCCCCATCTGCTTTGGTCTGGTCTGCCTTTCCTTCCCCTGTGATTTTCTGTGTCATCCCTTTCCTCCCTTTTGATTTCTGGCATAAAGCGCCAGCCCCACCCCCGGGGCGCATTGAGACAGCGATTGAGACTGGGTGTGGTGGCGCGTGCCTGTAATCCCAGCGTTTGGGCAGCTGAAAACAGGAGGATTACTAGGAGTATGACCTGTGTAGTGAGACCCTGTAGACCATGTATTAAAAAAAAAACAAGGAGCAGTAACTTTAAAATTGAGTGACTCTTACAGGGTCACCAACACTAAAGAGAAGCAGGAATTCAATCTCAGTCCTCCCCAGCCTGGCCCTACCTCCTCCTTTCAGTGGTCCCTTGTCTTTGTATTTTCCAATGCAGAAGAGAACGTCACATGCAACGACCCTGTCATCGGCGTTGGAGAGCCTGGAAAGGTCATCCAGAAGCTGTGCCAGTTCTCAGACGCTAGGAGCACCGACAGGATCACTGGTGGGATTGTCACTTACAGATGCGTGGGCTCCCAGTGGCAGGTGGAGAGGAAGGGCTGCATCTCCGCCCCCATCAACGACCTGCTCCAGCTGGCAGAGGTGAGCTCTGCCCAGAAAGCTGGCTGGGAGGATTTCTCACACCTAGGAAGATGGGCCAGGACTGCTTGGTGTTACTCAGAAAGTTACTTCTGTGTGCTTATTTCCAAAGGAGATGTGAACCTAGAGCGGTTTAAACCCAATAAACTGGATAAAGCAGGTGCTCTGTGCCAAGACCAGCCGGGACCTTAACCTTGAGTTCTTAGCCCCCATGTCCAGAGCTGCTCTCTGTCCATCTCCTTCAAATGATTTTGATATGAAATAGCTATGATTATTTTTAGAAAGAGGAATAATAGAAAAAATATGATTCAATTGACAAGTAATTGGGCTCCATGCTTTTCCAGGGCTGGGATTTGCTCAATCCTTACGGGCCACCTCTATTTCCGAAAGGCTACTTCACCTTAGCTGCAACCCAGTTGGCTGCTGTGTAGCAGGGGAAATTCCTTTCTTTGATTAAAATAAACAAATGGCACTTCTGCACTTGATGAAATGCTCAGTGGGGATTCTGAACCACCATCAATATATAGCTGAGTTAGAACTACAGGGGTTATAAAGAATGGTAAAATCTCAAGATAGCCAGGGCTGATTATGTTTCTGCCAGAGAAAGGAAGAGCTAGGAAATATGGGTAACTCTGATTTGTGTCTTAGCAAATTACCTTCTTTGTATCTGCTTATCTCACAGCCAACACATTAAAATGCCTGTTGAGTGCAAAGCATAATTATAGATGCTCACAAAGTTGAGAGATCATGTTGGCCCCTGATTGATAAATAATAGACTCTCCTTACTTAGGCGTTGCTCGAACCCTTGGCATTTGTGTTAGACCTTGATGGCTGAAAACGAGAGAGGCAAAGCATCCCAAGTTAGAACTTGAAGAAATAATTGTGTGAAGGGGTCAGCAGAACTCAAGGGCTGAGAAAATTCAGGCATTTTTCTCTTTGTTTGGGCTTTTGCTTCACCAGGCTTTGATCAAGAGCCCCTCTCAGGACCAGAACCTCCCCAAGTACCTGAAGAATCTTTCTCTCAGCACTGGCAGGGAGGAGCAAGAGATACAGTCGTCTCCTGGGAGCCTGGGTGCTGTCATCAACATCCTTGACCTGCTCTCAACCGTTCCAACGCAAGTGAATCCAGAGATGATGAAGGTAAGGCTGGACTTGGGGCTCCCTGCTCACCACCCCTCATGACTGTGTTCAATCCCTTCCCATAGCTTCAACCTCTCCATTTCTCATAAAGTGAGTATCTGGTTATTAGAGCCCACCAGCTTTTTGAGGGTGCCTCAGGGTGTTTCCAGAATTCATTTTGGGGCCTTAAGAAGATTTCTGCAGTAAATCTCCGCTTTAGTTTCTTTATTCAAATAGAATGAATTCCTGTAAGTTTTTCAGAAAAGCTAGGAACGAAAGGCTTTTAGAATGGGTACAAAGCAGGCTTCAGGGCATGACCGTGTTCTAAACTTTCTTTCTGGTGACTTCTTGCCACCCACAAAAAACCTCTACAGAATGGGGTTCAGAGAAAGCTGAACAGAACAGTAGCTCACCCTGCTGGTCCTGAGCCAGGGTGGAAGGGGGTTCTCATAGTCACGAGGTGCTCAGGGCTGTGCAGCCGTCAGGTCTGGGACTCCACCTCCTGCTTGCACCTCACCCCCCAGCTTCCAGGAAGAGGTTATTTTGTCTTCTTTGGGGCTGAAAGGAATTTGTGACTTTGTCACCTATAGGATGTGCTGGCCACTGTGAACATCGTCCTGGGCAAGTCTGTCCTGGGCACCTGGGAGGCCCTGCAGCAGGACCAGACCAGCCAGAGCTCACAGCTACTGCACTCAGTGGAGCGGTTTTCCAAAGCTCTGCGGCCAGGAGATGGCACGTTCACGTTCCTCCATCACCCCAACGTGCAGATGGGGAGCATGGCCATCAAACCTGGCAACCCCCACACCTACCAACAGAACTTTCACTTCCCAGATGCCGACCTCTGGGGCAACGTGACCATTGAAAGGCATCAGCTGGGGAACCTGCCCCCAGAGGCCTTGGTCGTCAGCGTGGCTTTCCCCACACTCAAAGCCATCCTTACCCCGGATGCTCAGAAAAAGCCTTTTGCAAATAGTTTAGTGATGACCACCACCATCAGCCACAACACCTCTGCACCCTTCGAGATCTCCATGAGTTTCAAACACAACCACAGAATAGAAGGGCAGATCATGTGTGTCTTTTGGAACTTCAGCCTCAGCAACCACACCGGGGGCTGGGACAGCCGAGGGTGCCGTGTGAACCGTGTGGACAGGGACAGTGTGTCCTGCACCTGTGACCACCTGACATCCTTCTCCATCCTCATGTCCCCGGATTCCCCGGACCGGGGTTCTCTTCTGGAAATCCTACTGGATATCATCTCCTACATCGGTCTAGGCTTCTCCATCCTGAGCTTAGCAGCCTGCCTCGTTGTGGAAGCGGTGGTGTGGAAATCGGTGACCAAGAACCGGACATCGTACATGCGCCACGTCTGTATCGTGAACATCGCTGCCTCCCTGCTCTTTGCAGACGCCTGGTTCATCGTGGCGGCTGCCATCCAGGAGCACCGCTACCTACTCAACAACACGGCCTGCGTGGCCGCCACCTTCTTCATCCACTTCTTCTACCTCAGTGTGTTCTTCTGGATGCTGACGCTAGGCCTCATGCTCTTCTACCGTCTGGTTTTCATCCTGCATGACGCGAGCAAGTCTATGCAAAAGGCCGTAGCCTTCTGCCTTGGCTATGGCTGTCCCCTGGTCATCTCGGTCATCACGGTAGCGGCCACCCAGCCGCAGGAGGTCTACATGAGGAAGAACGCCTGCTGGCTCAACTGGGAGGACACCAAGGCCCTGCTAGCTTTTGTCATCCCTGCACTGATTATTGTGGTGGTGAACATGACTATCACCGTCGTGGTCATCACCAAGATCCTGAGGCCATCCATTGGGGACAAGCCCAACAAGCAGGAGAAGAATAGCCTGTTTCAGATCAGCAAGAGCATCGGGGTCCTCACGCCGCTCCTGGGGCTCACGTGGGGGTTCGGCCTGGCCACAGTGTTCCAGGGGAGCAATGCCGTGTTCCATATCATATTCACCTTGCTCAACGCCTTCCAGGTGAGTTCTGCAGCCGGGGCCCTGGGGCAGTTTCAGTCCCGTGGGCAGATGAATGATGGAAACGAACATCGTTCGGGAGTAAGAACAGAGAGCATTCCGTGGGGAAGAGGCCTCAGCCCCGCAAAACTCGAGAGCACAAGGCAGGGCATAGTCCTCTGCTCCCAGGGACCCGGGACTCCTTGCCACCTGCTTCATAACTTAGCAGCAATGTGCTTGTCTCTTCCAAATGCCCTAGTGGTACAAGCAGGAGGGGAGTTACTTCCTTCAACTACATGCTGTGGATTACCCAAGGCCATGTTAGTGTAGCTTGTTATCTCCAAAGGGACAATACCACTACTAAGCCAGAGGCTGTCTCCAGTATCTCTAGGAGGGCTCAGTGACCTCTGTCTTGATGAGGACACCCGTGACTGGCTACTGCTGGGTGTTCTCTGGCTTCAGCGGTGTTCCAGGGAACAATGAATACCTCTGCCCACAGCAGGGTCCCCAACACCATCTGAAGTAAAGATTGCTTCACACCACATGGTTTCTATGGAAACAACTGTTGAAGGATGAAACAATGGGTGTCTATGAGTGCCGGGCAGCCTGCTTGATGACTGTATAAAATGCAGACATGTCTGTGCTCTCGTGTAGGAGCCACTAGTGACAATGCAGGCCACTCTGCTAGCAGAGCTGTCACACAGGTGTACACAACAGGAAGGGTCCAGGGTAGGAACAATTTGTCCCCAGTGTGCAGCCTTCTGGAAGCAGTGAGGAGGCAGCAGGTCCAGAGGGCAAGTTGAGGCGTTGCTTTCTGCATACTTCTGACATAACCCCTCCAGCCCTAAATCTTGCTTCTGAGTCAGGAGCTCCAAACTCTATGGTTTAGAGGTAATAATACGGCAGTGAAATATGATTAAAACTGGTTTCGTCTTAACCCTTCCCCCAGGGATTATTCATTCTACTTTTCGGCTGCCTCTGGGATCAGAAGGTAAGCATGCTAACGGTTCTGTGTTCAGAAAAGTCAGAAGTCCCCATGGTGCCCGCAGTGTGGTGAATTCACATGGCTTGTTTTGAACAACGCAGGTGCAGGAAGCATTGCTGAACAAGTTTTTGCAGTCCAGACGGTCTTCCCAGCACTCCAAGGTAGCCACTGTCCCTGGGGACCTGTCTTCTCACCGCCTAGAGACTTGTGCTAGTGGGAGGATGCATGGGGGCTCTTAGCCTTGGGACTCTTGCCAGTAGGGTTAAACCCAAGCCCTTCTACTTCCATGCCTAGTTTTGCCATAGAAGATCGAATAGTGTCCACTTCTCGTGTTGTTCTGAACACAACCATGGAGCAATCATTAAAACACCTCCCCTAATTCTTTAAGTAGGTAGTTAAGTGACAGAGGAGCTAAGCTTGAGGCTATCATTAAACTCTAGATGCAAGACAGTCTTCTGGGGCATCTGGGATATCAGAGAAGCCGACTTGAGCAAGAGCGATGGATAGACTGTTCCAATGTTCATTTGGAAGCACAGCTATTGTCTTAGTCAGCTTCTTGGTTACTGAACAAAAATACCCAACACCTGCAGCTTAAGGACGATGAGGGTCCTTCGGCTCCCATTTCCACCTGTGGTCAGCTGGCTCCAAAGCAGGCAGTGCCGCAGAGAGGGTTGGGGAGAACGCAGCCTGATCCTCAGGAAACATAGCGGGGAAGGAAAAACTGTAGGCCCCCTCCGACCATGACCCCAGGGACCGCTCTTGGGATCAGATCTCTATCTCCTCATGGCAAGTCAACGGTGACACCCTATAGCCCAATCATCTTCTAAAATCTCAGCCTAGTGGGCACAGGAGACTGTGGGGAACAGCTAGATATAAACCATAAAGACTACTGTCCTTGAAAATACTGACTTACCTTTCGCACATCTGGTAAATGTACCAAACGATAAAATATGTATTTGAGCTGGGGGCATAGCTCAGTGGTAGAACACGTGCTCAGCATGCAGAAGGTGCTGGTCCAATTGCATGTGCCAATAAAAGATTTTTTTTTTTTTTAAAGAGAGGGGAAGGGAGTGGAGGGGAGGAAGGAACCATATATTTGAAATCTATTTTTCTACTGTTAAATCCCCGCGTCTCCACGTGGCTGCAGGGGTAGAGTTAGACAGGCAGGAGAACAACCGCTAGAGGGCAGCAGACGACTCCTCCCACAGCGCCATCTTTTTTCTCTATTCTAGTCCACTTCCCTGGCTTCAACTACACCCGTGTTCTCCATGAGTTCTCCAATATCGAGAAGATTTAACAACCTTTTTGGTAAAACAGGTATGTAGTGACTTAAAGGTGCCTAGAAAATCCTGCTGCAACACTCTGCTGAGGGGTTCCTTCCCTCCTCTCCGTTTTGTGGAGTCTGCTTCTGTATACATTGACATTAAGTTTTTAAATTTCCATACAAGAAATCACCCAGTTAGCTACTCTATTATAAATACAGCTCATACTGGAGACAGGAAGTGGGTAGATTTAATGACTTTGGGCAGTAAGTCTCAGCCACTCTGGTAAATCGAAGTCCCTATTCCATGCCACTGTCCACCAACCAGAAAGTAATCTCTAAAACTCTGTATAACTTTTTGAGACAGAATGGATCTCAGATCTCCCTACTCTAGACAAAAGCTTTTCACAGCGAGGCAAATGTTGAGATTACTAAACTTAGCCCTGCAAGACCTCCAGAGACTTTGTGTTTTCTGAGTTATGCGTCCAACCAGTGGACTTTCTTCCTCACTTGGAAAGTCACTGATTCAACCTGTTGGAACAGGATTGCATCTCCAGGGCATATTAGGGCCACTGCCTGCTGCCAGCCCTGTCCATGGAATGCTTCATGCCTGGGTGGAAGGCAGAATAGTGAGAACTACAGGATGACTCTGTCTGCTCAGAATCAGGCAACATCAAGGGCCCCGTGGCGTGCACTCCTCGTTTGTGAATCAGTCTGATAAAATTTGGGGTGCAAGCTTTGTCCCCAGGGTACCAGAGTCTGAGATGCCTAGTCATTGCCTCTGGATGGGCTCTGGGGGTAATCACTGCACCCCATGTTGACCTGTGGAGGTCCATAATCACTGTGATTTTGGTTTATGTTGGCAGCAGCTCCCAAAGTCCCCCCAGGCAGTGACAGAGACCTTGTTAGCAGTGGCAGCTCAGCAGTGTGATGGTAGGGTAGGCCCTCGCCCTCCCCACTCCCTCACACACTCCCCTCTCTGCACTGTCCTGCCACCGCTGCCCAGCAACCTTGCAGCACCCAGCCTGACAGCCCGACTGCCCTGTCTGTCGCTGTCCCCATCTGCTTTGGTCTGGTCTGCCTTTCCTTCCCCTGTGATTTTCTGTGTCATCCCTTTCCTCCCTTTGTAAGCCTTTGCCTCCAGCTCTCTGCCAAGAGCATCCCTGCATCTCCCAACCAGGGTCCAGGCAGTGCATGCGGTAGCATGGGGACAGGTGCTGGCCAGCTGGAGGCCTTCTGGCTGTGGAAAGAGGACAAGTGCTTGTCAGCCTCGCGCTCGCTAAGGGCAGGGCGCCTGTGCTGGCTGTTCTCTGGCTTCAGGGTAGGGAGGAGAGAGGTGTGGCTTTGGTCCCAGGCATGGCGAGCTCCCAGGGCCCTGGACCCAGCTCCCTTGGCCCCAGGGGCATTCACTCTGTAGTCCACACTGGCTCTTCTGTGGGCCTTAGAGGGTGCTCTGTCTTTCAGGAACGTACAACGTGTCTACTCCAGAAACAACCAGTTCATCAGTGGAAAACTCCTCCAGTGCTTATTCACTGCTCCGCTAGGCACTGAGAACAGTGGCCGCGTGGCCTCCTGGAGATGGTGGAGAACAGCCCCGGGCGGAGCTGGGGACGCTTTCCACAGGCACCTGGGAGCAGACGCTGAAAAGACTTTCTCACCAAGACGCTTTCTTCTGTAAAGACAGAGGGAAAAGAATTGCTGTGTCTGTTTCTGCTCCCCCCGCCCCCTCCTGTGACGCCCAGTGTGTATAGTATTTAAGTGAACTGTGCGTCTCCCAAGGCCCAGCTTCTGTCCATACTGTAAGAAAGAGTTCTAAAGAGACATGTTCATTTCTTGTCGTTGGCCACAAAGATAAGCTCTGATCAAAACAGTAAGTAAAAAGCTAGTGCCTCAGTGAAGAAAGGAATGGAGGGTGGAAGGGTGGGCGGTAGGGAAGGAAGGGAGAGGAAAGGAAGGAAGAGAGAGAGGCAGGGAGGGAGGAAGTAAAGGAGGGAAGGAAGAAACAGAAGGGAAAAGGGAAGGAATGAAAAAGAAAAAGAATAAAGAAAAACCACACTAAGGACCACGTCTTATGACCTCCATGCTGATGGTGTAATATAATCCCTCAGAAACTGCAACACTGAGAGTAGAAAAAAAAAAAAAAAAGCTTCCCAAATCGAAACTGAAAGTAAGCCATGGGGAATGAGTTTGGTGTGTTCCTGATATTTTCCTAGCTAAGAAAGGGGGAAAGAGAGAGAGAGAGAGAGAGAGAGAGAGAGAGAGAGAGAGAGAGAGAGAGAGAGAGAGAGAAATAGAGGAAACCACATCCTCGAGTGGATAACATTTACCATCAGTGCCCCAGGAGACGCAGTTCCCTGGGGCCAGTCACACATCCGGGGCCCTGCTCGCGGAGGCCAGAGCAAAGGGACCGAGCATGCCCAGGGTGTGTCGGTGCTTCTGGGTCAGGTCCCCAAGTACCCCTCTGCGACTAACATCGTCGAGTGCATCCGAAAAGCCTCGTGTTTTATTCTGTCCTATGTTTGGAAATCAAAAGTTACGTATTTTTATGCCCAGTCATTGACACAGTTGACATACTGCGCTGGAAACAGACCCCCCCCCCACCTGTCTCTCGTGGCACAGCTCGGTGGCCGCATCTCCTAGCGGGTCATCCTGTGCCGTGGCTGTTACATTACCGGGTATGTGGCAGCCCTGGGTGTGTCGTGCAGCCTGCCGTGGGCCATTTCCCTCCATCTTCATGCACCCAGGCAATTACGCGCTGAGCATTCCGTGACGTCTCACTTGTGTCTATTACAGCCACGGGGAAAGCTTCCAGGGAGGAAGGGTACAGTGGCCGAGTCTGCTCCCGATGGCACTTTACTCTGATGAGCAAATGGCAGAACTTTCCCTGAGTACCGGACTGTGCTCTGTGTTTGTGCGTACTGTTTGGATGGCTGCATTTCATTAAAAATTACAAATAGCCACGGAGACCATGCCCAGAGTTAAGTGCCTGCTGTGAATGCCGCAGCCCTACATTCCAGACCCGAGTGTGCTGCCCCCGAGAGGATGGTAACAATAAAAGCACAGAAGGGCCAGCGAGATAGCTCAGCTTAGGCCAGCGCAGGGGCCAGGATTCGAGGCCTGGCACTACAGACTGTGCTGGCCCCGCCCCCGGTGCACTGAGCTAGCTGTGGAGTCCAGGCGTGGTGCCTAACGCCTGTAATACCAACACTAGGGAGGCAGAAAACAGAGGATCACTATGAGTCCGAGCTGCGTAGTGAGACCCTACACACACACTAGATAAATAAATAAATAAATAAATAAATAAATAAATAAATAAATAAATGCACAGAGCCACCCGACAGGTGATCTCTATGGGCTCTTGGAGTGGGAGAACAGGCACGGGCCCTGGAGACAGGACTCAGGGTGAGAGAGGCTGAGATCCAACCACCTCCTCCGAGCCTAGGTTCAGGAGGCCTGTATCTTAACATCTCGACTCCTTCCAACCTCTTCCTTTGCTAAGTTTTACACTCTACTCCTGTTCTCTTCTGTGTGGAGGACAGGAAGCTGCAGAACAAGGACAGACAGACATCCCAATGAATCACAAAGTGCTCTATTTCTACAGACTCACAAATGCCATAGACATCTACTTCATGTTCCCTGAGAGTTGTCCCAGAGCTGTCCCAGTGCAATGGCCCAGATGTCAAGTCCCTGGAGGGTGTGATCCATGGGGTAGATGCGGGTGACCTCTTTGGGGAATGATCAGCCCCATGATGACCTCAGTGCAGAAGAAAGAGGAATGAGGTGAGGCTGGGGCCACCCGCATTAGAACTGGATTCCAGGGAAAGTCCGACATAGACCGACCTGGTTCCTCTGTCCCAGCGAGGGTCACTGAGACAGGGTTACCGCATCCTGCTCATGGGCCATCTCTATGTCCAGGGATGCACAGCACCTGGCAGGTGGCGGTAGCTGTCCTGACAAAAGTGCAAGAGGACCAGAAGTGCTGCACCGTGGTCTGCATCAGCAGAGAACCCCCAGGAGCTGTGCTTGTCCTGGGCCAGGAATATGCACACAGCGAGAGCTTTGGGGGTTCTCCCAGGAAGCAGCTGGGTCTTCTGCCCAGCCATTTAGCACAGGCATATTCCCCTTCCTTTGGCACACATGCACAAGTGCATGCAACCTCACAGAGGCTCACGTGTACATGCATGCACACATGTAATATGCACATATGTGCAAACTCAGGAATGCATGTATATGGGCACACATGTATGCACGCAGATTTACAGATGCACCTATGTAGATGTGCACACACGCATGCACACACACATAGGCATGCGCATGCCTCCACCTTTCAAATCGCAGCACTGGGTCTGTATGCCAGGAATGGTATGAAGGCAGGAAACTGAAGAAGCACGTGCTGGCTTTGTTTGCTGCACCACACACAGCTCACCTGCAAGCTCTTGCAAGAATATCCTGACACCAGTGTCTGAATGCAGAATTGTTAGCCTGTGCCCGACAGCAGCCAGCGGCAGCATACAAGAGTACCCTCGGCACTGTGCTCTCTGGCCCCAGGGGTGATTGGTGCTGTCCTCTGTCCTGCATCCTGCCACCCAGCCCCACTCGAGGAGCCATGGGAAGAGGCCTCGGATTTGGATTACAATCCTACATGTATTTGCTGTTTTTCTCTGGACTGTGGGCATTTTCCCAGGTTCCAGGCATCCTCTTACAGCTGTCCCTGCAAAGCATCCCACAGGACCTCCAACTGGGTCCAGGAGGCAGCCAGCTCTGACCTCCAGCCACACACCTGCCTCTCCTGAGGCTTGGTCGCCACCTGGTGGACCCTGGCCACCAGCGTTCCCATCTGAAGGTGCAGAGTCGTAAAATTCCGTCGTCCCTGCATAGGAGGTTCTGGTCTGGTTGCATGGGCCAATGCGATCAGCTAACAAGTGGGAAACTCAGGCCCAAACTTAGTCCTAGGCTAAGGGTCCGCTCCAAGGCAGCTCCTGAGGTTGGCTGCAGTGGTCTCCTCATAGGCATTTTGATAAATCTAATCCATCAATGCTGAGGTTATTTCCCGCATTCTTTGCGCTAATAACAAACCCTCTGGTGTGATTAGAGATGATAATATTTAAAGTTTTGCCACAGATATTTCTCAGACCTTTGACTATGATTATTTGGACTAATTAATAATGACTCTTGGTGTGTGTGTGTGGATAACAGCTCATGCATGAACAAGATGATCCAACACTAAGATACACTGCCAGTCTTTTTATTAAAATCTTTTACTTTGAGAAGGATCTCGCTACATTGCTAATTTGCCCAGGCTGGGCTGGAACTTGTGATCTTCTTGCCTTAGCCTCCTAAGTGCTAAGATTATGGGTAAGAACCACTACCCCAGTGCCCCAGTGTGTGTGTGTGTGTGTGTGTGTGTGTGTGTGTGTGTTTTAAATCTTTTCCTTAGAATCAGTGAAAGAGAAAAAGACTGAATCTCAGTTTCTTAGAGGACTCATTCACTTGAAATCCTTTAAAAAATGTTAAAAGGGTCCTAACACCAGTGTGTCTGATGAAAATTAGTATCTGATTAATTCACACACAAGTGGATTTCCTTTTGCACTCCTGATCTAAGACAGAGACAGGAGAGCTTCTTTGCTTTGGTTATTCATTCATTTATTGGTTCACCCATTCGCCATCTCCTGAGGGCCCACTGTGTGCCCCTGGGCACACTCTAGGCACGGGATGGCAAGGTAGTGAGCACGACAGGTGCCTGCCTGCTGGAGCTCGCAACTATCGCAAAGCTAATCCTGGGAGATGCGCCTTGGCTCGGGACATCGCACCTGGCCACAGGCCCACGTGGAGGCAGCGGCCTGAAGAGAATCACACAGGAAGCCGAGGCACGGTCTCTAGAGGCCAATTCAAAACAAACTGGAAGCTGCTCAGATCGCCGCCCAGGAGGAGGGAAGGTCGGAGCGGAGGAGGCGACTCTGCAGCGTGGTCACGTCCAGGGTGGGTCACGGCCTGGGCCTTTGGAGCATTACGGAGGTGATGGCGAAGGTGAGGAAGATCACACCGACCGTGCCTCCAATCACCAGGCCAAGGATGCTGCCATTCACCTGCATGGCCTGACAGCGCTCACCCGTATAGAAGAAGGTTTGTCCAGAGACGCACCTGGGGAAGGGACACGGGGCCTGTGCAGCTATTTGGCCACAAGTGCTGCCTGCCAGCAAGCTTCATGTGGCAAGGATGGCAGAGAGCATTAGTGAGCAGGCTGGGCCTGGCCCGTGCCACACATCCATGAGATTCGACTCATTTAATCCCATGACAACCCTTTGCAGCAGAGCTCATGGGCAGGCTGTCATCCTTCCAGGAGAGCCACAGGAATGATGACAGTTTGCTTCCAGTCACATGGCTAGTGCTTCACCATGAAACTGAACCCTGAGAGGGGTATCTTTAGACCAGGCCTCTTGGCCACCAAGGTTGCAGGAGGAAGAGTAAGGGAGGATTTCAGCAGACATTGTCTCCTGACATGGACCTTCTGCAAGATCTGAGGACATTTTCCAGGTAGAGCTTGATTTACTGCACTGACTTCAGACAATATTAAGCCAAATGTCCCTATAATGTTGGTATCCTGCGTGGTGTCTCTCAAACTTCCCTGGATGTTCAGGCCCAGTCGAAGTGGCCAACACATAGAAGGGCTACAACAGGATTAGAAATTCCAGAAACACCAAGGGTGCTATGCTGTTCCCCAGAAGAGAGGAAGGGGTAAACATCAGGGGACACAGGGGAGGTGGGACTGGTCTGCTAGGGCAGTGTCAGCCCACTTCAGAGTGCGCTTGTGTCTAGTTGAGAAAGCCATCTCCTCAGGTCATGTGATGGAGGTCTTGGCTTACCATGACCAGCATCATGCCAGCCTGGCCCAGGCCCGTACCTACCTGCAGCTTGCTGTGCCCTTCACGTTCACACAGATGCCCTCATTCTGGCATGGGTTCGGGTCACATGGGTCTCTGAAATGCTGCAGCCAATTGTGGTCCTCCAGTGGGCCTGTGTTCTCCACGGACCGCTTCTGTCGGCCCAGCCTGCCTGGTGGGGCTTCATCCAGGTCAGCCTTTCTAGAACCTTCTTCCAGGGCCTGCTGCTCCTGTCCTTGGAGCACAAGGCCTGCGGGGACCAGCCTGTGGGCAGTAGAGCTCACCGGCACCTCTGTTTTGCTCAGGTGGGTGAGGTCTGCAGAAAAGAGAAGTGGTGAGGACAATTGGGACAAATAATTGGCTATGGTGACTTCCAGGCAAGGTTTCTGGGCCACTGCTGTCCCGTAGGAATACTACTGATTTTTGGAAAAGTGGTCCTAAATCCAGCTGATCCTTGTGGTGCCAGCTTCTTTATTTTAAAGTAGTCCCATCACATTTATGTATTGAACTTGCAAAACAGTGTGACATTAGACTGAAACTAATCTAAACTCTGCAGACTGTTATGCTTGAGAAATTATCCAGAAGAACTGATGCCTTAACAAATGAAACTGTGCTTCATTCCAAGGATAATGGAAAATATTGTTTTCACCCTAGAAGAATGATAGATGCTGTGGAGGTGCTTGAATGAAATGCAAAGAATACATGCAAAAAATGCCCCATGGTGCTCTGGAACATGAATAATTTTTGTGTGTCAATTAATATTCAAAAATATAATAAAATGAAGAAGGGCATGCCTGACCAATTGAGTAAGATGTGGCTTTTTTTCCCCCTTTCTTTTCCTACTTCTTTTTAAACCTCATTTTTTCATGAAAGATCCCTACCTTCCACAGGTTGTTTTGAAAATCAGTAAGGCAGCTGAAGCCTAGGATTATTTATTAACCAAGGAAGATCAGCAAAAGTACCTTCGAAGTCCACAAACACAATGAGGTCATTGTTTTTAAGGAAGCTCCTCCTCCTCAGCATCTGGTGTGAGATGGCTCTGCTCCAGCCCAAGTCGATGCTCCGAAAGCAATCGCAGTCCTTGTCGTAGGAGCCCACAGTGGACGGCCTGTCCCAGATGACAGAGCCATTGATAGCTGCAGAATGACAACAGCGCAGCATCACATCACCTGGTACCTTGAGTGATAACATGCACCTTGCAAGTGGCTTTGATAATCAGAAAAAAATATCTATGTTGGGAAATTTTGAGTCATTCGCTCTCTTCAGGAGAATTAAAATTTAGAATTGGGAGGCGAGGGGCAGACAATGGCTCTGTGCACACGCGCCTGTGACTGGTAGCTTCTTTCAAGGGGAGGGGCCACAGCCTGATCTTCTTAAGACCTGCCTCTCCTTTGGACAAAGCAGTTTGCCCATTTGTAATGGAGGTGGGTTTATGTCACGCACACACAGACATTGGGAAATAGTTTAGGAATCAGTTCACAAAGCCCAGTGGGGCCTGAGGATCTGAAGGTGACGAGCAGCACCCATCAGGCCAGCCTGAGCTGGGGAGGCAGGGCCACCTGACTCCTTGTACTCCTTGTACCCGGCACAGAGCCCAGCCCCTCACAGGCCGGTGACACCTACCTGAGGAGTGAGAAGAGGGAAGCAGGAAAGCATGGCATTGAAGATGTCAACCTAATACTCCAGTGTGAGGAGTTGTTGCTAGGGGGCTGATCAGAATATGCAGTGAATGCTTGAAGTCTAAAACATGTGTTACAATAAAAGCAAAGTCGTTGTCATGAATGCCCCCAAAGCAATCCCCCCTCGCTTCAGGTACACCTATCCCATCCCTCTGGGCTCTTTCTGAAGCAGTTCTTGGCGACCTCTTTCTTTAATGTTTGTGAGGTCTGGTTAAAAGTGCAGTGAGCATCAAGCGACACCCAACAGAAAGGCAGGCTTGAATAAACCACTGCAGCACATCCTCCTGCATGTTATTCAGTCAGTCTCGGTGACTCGTGGCTCTTGCGCCAAAGTCAAAATGACCGTGAAAGGTAACTGTTGTGAATCAGTTTGGGACACGGAGGCAGCCACGACATCGAAACTGAAGACATGCAGAAAAGAGGGTATCAGAGCTGCCTCAGAAAGTGGTGAGGGTGACGAGATGAGTGTGTTCTAAGCGAAGAGGGAGCACAGGGAGGGGGATTCCTGGCGCTGTGTCCTCTATTGTAGTCTTGCTTTCCTGTTTGTTTTTCAATCTATTTGGCTGTTGCAGGGTCTCACGACACAGCTCAGTCTCATGGTGATCCTCCTGTTTCAGCCTCCCCACCCAGTGCTGGGATTACAGGCATGGGCCACAATGCCCAGACGCTGTGGTGGGCTCAGCACAGCCTGGGGGTGGGGCGGGCACAACATTGGGTGCCGGGGATCGAACTGTGGTCCCTGCACTTGCCTAAGTTTGCCTGAGCAGGCGCCTTAGTCCATTGAGCTATCTTGCCAGCCTCTAGTCATGTTTGAAATGTAGGTGTTCATAGTATCTTTTAATCCCATCTTATACACAGTGTAAAAAAATGTGGTGGGAATAACACACTTCTTGCACAGATGCCAAACACATCAGTGAGCCCCTCCGAACTACTGACCTGCAGATGTGTGTGACAGGGAGGTCGTGAGCATCCTGTTCAAGGACATCCTATTCTTGACATCAGTCTCCTGGTCAAGTATGGTCATGGACGCCTGCCGGTTCTGCACGGGCCACTCTAAGATAGCATCGTTCTCCCCACTGCACAGGTGGAAAGCTATGCCCAGGTAGCCGGAGACAGTGGAGGTTGCTCTGTCATGGGGGTACAAGGTCACCCCAAAACCATAACCCTCGGAGTTGTAGAACCGCGGGCTCAGGAGCTTGTCCCCTTTCTCTGTGTTCTGGAGGACTCCAGAGATGTTCCGCACTGTCCACACTCCTGCCGGGCAGGGCGTCTCCGTCAGGGTGATGTCATCCAGGGAAATGCCCCCGGCTGAGTTCTGCGGGTCACCTTTTGTGCCCTGGAAAAGGTAGCGGAACTTCTTTTCCTCTCTGAGTGTCACGTGGGCAATTTTCCAGTTATGGTCAGAGTCTCCTGAGGACAGAGAAAGGCTGCTGATAACGGCGGCTGACACTTAAGGAATCCTTGCTCCAAATGTCTCTCTGTACCCAGCCATGGGGCACAACCTCACAGCAACCCTGTCGGCAGGCACCATGAGACTGCCTAGGCAACCTTTAGGGAGTACCCTGTCTAGAAAGGGAAAAGAGCTCTAAAAAAAAAAAAAAATCCATCTTTGCTCAAATCCCAGTCATGAATGTGTTTGCCACTGCCGTTCAACTTCCCAGGTTCTGGGATTCCTTCTGAGACCTCAGCTACCCGCCCTGCTAACACTTAAATGCCCATGTATCTGGCTGAACTATCTGAAATAGACATTTTATGAGTCAGAAGTCAAATAATGACCACTCCACAGGGCCTTCTGAACGTGAAGGGTGTAGCTCAGGGGTAGAGGGGGTTTGCCTGACAGGTGCAAGGCCAAGGGTTCAATTCCTAGTACAGCGGAAGAAAAATGTTTTTTAACCCCAAGTTTACAGTTAGCTGCTCCTCACACCCCCTGCTGTCTGAGTAGCTCAAAGCTTCATGCAAAGCACCTTATAGAAACACACAAAGCAGCACCCAGGAATGAGAGAGCATAGTCATGAAGTAGAGACAGACAAGTGGACAGGTTCCTTCCACCTAGACAAGCAGACATGAGTTACGTCAGCAGATTAAGCAGCGACACCATTCCGTATTCTCAACCAGCTGAGAAGGCACTTGGCAGCCATGGATTTAGCTGCCATGTCTCCAGGAGCTTCAGTTCTGCTTCCCTCTCCTTTCCCTTCCCCTCGTTCACCCTTCCAAGCTCTCTCTCCTGGCCCTGGCATTGTGCAAAACATGAGCGAATACTGGATTTATGAGCACAGATTGTTTACTTACAGTGCTGCTTCTGATTGCTGAGGGGCTCAGACATGCCTAGAGGGGTTCAAACCTGTCAGACATCACCAGATCTGGAGGAGGGGAAAAGCAGAAGCAGAGTGGGAGAAGGAGAGGTGAAGAGAGGAGAAGAGGGTGGAGGGAAGGAGGAGCTGGCCCTGGTTCTAAGCCGGAGCAGCCCCGTGTGATGCCCCTGCGTACCTTGGAAGGTCTGTATCTTGACCAGCTTGCGGACGTTGCCAGTGCCATCATCTCTTCTGACCCAAATGACCAGTCGGTCAGAGGGGCTCCCTGTCATTCTGTAAAAGAACTGTAGGCACTGCTGCTTCCTCTGTGGGTAGAGAATCCGAGACTCCAGAAGGGCTGCCTCTTCCAAGGCTCCTGTGCCCGTGTCGAGGTGCATGGAGTAGCCGGCACCTGTGGGGGACAGGAGCTGGTATCCGTGCCTGGCTTGGCACACCACTCTCTCTTTCCACTTTTCCCCTGGGCACAAGGTGACAATCCATCCAGGAAGTGCCAGCTAAAGTTCTTCTGAGAAACATCAGAAGGTCAATGGCAATGCATGTTCTGCCTCGGGGGACACAGCCAAGGCTAAGGCTAAGGCTGCGAGCTCAGTGCTGCTTTCCATTTGCCTGGGTTCTCAAGGGTGTGAAGCATTAGCCCATGAGTTGAAGAAACTCAGATCCCAGCCCAAGTCTCAGGAATGTGGTGTCTGTTTCCTCATCAGCTCAATTGTTCAAATCAGGGGCAGAAACTGTTGCCCTTGCCAAGGCCAGAGGCACAATGCCCGTGTCTCATAACCTCTGGGTCCCTCACTGGGGGCCTGGCATCCTTGACAAACCCAGGTCTCCTGTGGGAAAGAAACCAAGCCCACTCTTGGACACGGACTGAGCAACTGCACTGTAACCCAGTCCTGCAAAAGCTCTTACAGTTCTGACCCCACCCACTTCCGAAAAGGCGAGTGATGGTTTTCACAGGAGACATATACTCAAAGGATGCTAAAATAGAAACAAACATAAATGAAGGGGCTGGGAGTACAGCCATAGGGGTAGAATGTTTGCCCAGCTTACAAGAACCCCTGGGTTCCATGCCCAGTATCACAGAAAAACAAAAAGAAAAAGAAAGGATAAAAGAGGACATGATGGGAAGAGAAGAAAAAGGGAAGATAAACCAACAGGGAATGAGCTGGTGGGGACTTGGTGAGTGGCCTTCATCTACCCCTGTGAAGTGTGGATCAATACCTGGGGTTCAGGATGTCTTACCCATGCAAAGATGTTTTTGTTTAAAGAAACACATAGGCAGCCACAACTTCCTGTAACCCCAACTACTAAGTGGTGAAGCCAGGTTTCAATCTGGCTGTCCACACAGACCACATCCTGGAACCTCCTGAAGTTGTGCTGTTGGATACAGTGGCCTCCAAGTACCTGTGGCCACCGAGGGCCAGGTCTGACCCCTCCCAACTGAGGTGGGTGTAAGGGCGAGAGACACCATGATAAGGGATGCCAAAAGGAGAATCTCATGATGATGTTGATATTGATTATGCGACAAAATGCTGATACTTTGTATACATGGGGTTAAATAAAATACTTGGTTGAAGCCAATTTCACCTACATAAAATTATCTTCCTTTTTTTAAAAAATGTATTTGGAAAAAAAATGTATTTGGTACAAGATCTCACTATGCAGTTTGGAGTCATAGTGATCCTCCTGTTTTCTGCCTCCCCAGGGCTGGGGTTACTAGTGTGCACTACCATGCCCCATTTCTATGGTCAGCTCCGAGCTCCCAGGGTGGGGCCGGTGTGGTGTGTAGGGCCAAATCGAACTATTAGAAAGTTTCGCATGACATGTGGGTTAGCATTGTATTTCTAGTGGAGGGTACTGCTCTGGGGAACTTAGCCACGTCTCACCAACCACATGTCCACATGACTTTCCTTGAGGCCAACATACGCCTCACTTTGGCACGTGCAGCGCTCTGATGTGTTTATTGAGGTAATAACTAAGATAAGGGAAGTGCTCTTTGTCCTGGTTCAGATTTTCAGAGTGGATTACTGGGGTGACCCATGCTGACCTCTATTACCTAGGCAACCCTGTCACCCAGTCCCTTCACCACCACTCACCTGTACACTGGCCGCCCATGGTGTGGTCCTCTTGTCCGGCTTGTGAGCTGTCCTTGTGGACCCAGTCTGCATCGTCTCTGGTGCCCTGGATCATCCCGCATATGTTTGTCTTCTCAAAAGCACAGTGATCCAAAAGGGTGTGCGTGGTGGCTGCAAAGGACATTTTGATCCGGTAATTAAAAAGATTTAGCATAGCCCAGCCAAGGGGGGAGTATGTTCAGCCACTAAAATCTCACTGGCCAATGCAACAGGTGCATGAGCTTCTCATTTTCTGGATTTTTTTCTCAAATGTAAATCAACAGCAGCGAGGTAGATCTCAGAACTCATCAGCATAGACACAGGCCTACCTGTCTCACAGAACCAAGGTAGAAAGCTCTCCAAGCATCTGCACTATGGAGAAGCCAACAGGGGCCCCTCTAGGTCAGGACCAAGGTACTTATAGTACTGTACTTAGTGAACACAGTGCATGCTTTCTTTTCTTTTCTTTTTTTGCGGTACCAGGGATTGAACTCAAGGCCTTGCACTTGCCAGGTAAGCACTTATTCTACTGAGCCATCTCCCCGGCCCCAGTGCATGTTTTCTTGAACAGAAATAACGATTATCTCTCTCAAGATTAGTGGGGTTGTCCTAGAAAATAAACTACCCAAGGGCTTAGGATATTCTAGGAATAAACTGGGTAAAGAATCTTCCAGGGCTTAAAAAAATTTCAAGCTCTTTGCCTACCCGGACTTTTACATAATTATGCACTTTGTATGCTTATATCTGGTAATCTGAACTACTAATTTGAAGACTACAATATGCAGTGTAATAGTCATTGGTGAGGACTGGAGAGATAGCTCGGCGGTCTAAGCACCTGCCTGGCAAGCATGAAGACACAAGTTCCATCTCTGGTACGGGATGCAATGCCAGTCCCAGAACCGGGCACGGTGGCACATGCCTGTGATCTCAGAGTGGGGGAAGCTGAGACAGGAGGATCACTATGAGTCTGAACTGTGTAGTGAGACCCTATATCAAATGAATAAATAGTCATTGTTGAATCTTATCATCTTGTTTAGTCAAATTCTGTATTGCTTCTATTTTTAAAATTCTTTTTATTCATTTTTTATGCATTTAATAGAGTGCCTACAGGGTATCACTACACAGATCAGACTCATAGTGATCCTCTTGCTTTCAGCCTCCTAAGCGCTGGAATTACAGGTGCGCACTACCATGCTCAGTCTCAATCTCCATCTCAGTACACCCTTGCGGTGGGACCGGCACGGCACACAGGGGATTGATCCCCATCCCTGAGCCTGCCTAAGCAGGCGCTTTAGTCCTCTGAGCTATCTGGTAGGCCCTTATTCTCTTTAAAAGCTAAGAAAAAAAAATTAAAAACCTAAAGAAGTTAGACAATAAATGCTCCTGGCACTGGCCTAATATTTTTACTTTATGAAATGCAAGTCTGTAACTGATTTCTTGGCCATCCGGTGGGCAGATGCTATAATTTTTTCAGGTCTGGAAGTAGCATGCCTTAGTTACGTGGTTTGACCCATGGTCCCGTTACCAGAATGTTCAAGAGTGAAAGGGCATCAACCCGAAGCTACGGCGGGCCCGGCACACCCGCCCCAGCCTGACGCTCACTGCAGTTGTACATCCGGTTCAGCCTCTCCAGGTCGATGGCGCTGAAGTCCAGGCGCTGCCCGATGATGGAGTTGAACTCGGGGATCTTGGTCGTGATGGTGGGGACATTGGCATTTTGGTTGAATGAGAGGGGCGCATAGTGCATCACGGACTCGTAGTCGTAGGGCGTGTTGAGGTCTGTGATGAGCGTGTCGTCGTAGATGTTGAAGTTGTGCTCGTAACCTGTTGGGGATAAGATCCACAGTGGGGCCAGTCAGTGAGCACCTCCAACCATTTCTCTCCAGCCAGATGCTCAGAGACACAAAAGGGATAGACTACGCCTTTGATTTAACCATGTGAACATAATTTATATTTACTATACGTATAAATGAATAGATAGTAATTATTAATCAATAGCCTAACATTATAATATGTATAAAATTATTGGAATGAAATGACCATAAAATACCTATTGTAGTATATAAAGTATATATTGATAATTATAAATTATTAAATATAGGAATAGATTTAAGGACGCAATGCAAAGTGTGTGTGTGTGTGTGGGTGTGGGTGTGGGTGTGGGTGTGTGTGTCTGCTGTCAGGAAGAGACCATGCCTGCTTCTCCCACTCTTGGGGACTTAAAGACTGAAGCCTGTTCAAAGTAGGACACCTCTGAGAGGCATAAGTGACACACACAGGACAGAGGGAAAGTGACTGCTCCCAGAAATCACCTGCTGCTAGGATGTCACATGAGGTGACGGAGCTGTGATGAGTGTCCATTGGTAAGGACTGGGCTCCCCCAGTCTGGTGGCCCTGGGGAGCTGCTGAAGCTGGCACTTGCCACTCCCTGCAGGTCTTAACTTCCCCCTATAGTCATTGGCGTAGAAGAGATTGCTTCATATTTTTTATTCAAGGATTCTTATCAGATTGGCTTACAAATAAATGGCTTGAGTAACTTTTAAGTCTTACACAGTGCCTTTTGCTTTGCCCATGACGTCCCAAGATCCCTGTTGAGAAGACAGTGACCCAGAAGGGAACAGGGCTCAGCCTGCCTCCGCAGGACTCATTGCCAGAGCCCCGATGGGGAGCAATCCTGCACCCCAAGGGCATCTGCAAACTTCCTATCATGGGTCAGATAGGAGAGGTTCTGGGCTTTACTACCTGTATTTTCTCTGTCACTGCTACTGAGCACTGCTGTTGCTGCCCAAAACAGCCACAAGTGACATACACACTGAAGGGCATGGCTGTAAGACCTCAAAAACTGAGTGCTTCCATAGTGGAAAGGAAAAACCACAGTTATGACTCAGGACAAGGGAATGGGCTGGGAAAGAGAGGCCACATGCTCGTATGGTGTCCTCTTAGGTGAAACAACATGACTAGATCACTCCGAGTGAGGAGCAATAAAAGTCCCAAATGACCCTGAGAAATAACGCTGTCCTTGTTTATGCTCTTCTTGGGTTTGGGGTCCCATGCGAGAGCAGGTCTCCGGTGATGGCATGCAATTTCCGTACATGGAATCGTATCTGATGGAAAACTCAGATGCTAAGCAAACACGTGTTGAGCAACCCAGGCCCAGGCAGACCTCCGCAAGTCTGCAGATCACCCTAGCAAGTGGACTGGCCCTTGGGAAAGGGATCTAAGACTCTGAAGCCATCATGAAAGGATGAGCCATCATTTTCTGATTGCTCATGAGATTTTCAGCAATGCCAGCAGGAAGATAAGACCGAGTCAGTGGCACTTTGTGCCTCAGCCCCAGGGCTCTGTCCTTTGACCCATGCCGTGACTCTGGGCCCTTTTCCCCTCTGCACCCTGGCACACTAGGTCTGGTACCATCCCCACCAGGAGATAGATACCTCGGCTCTCATCTGAAATCTCAGCTCTGGGTGAGCAGGCACAAACACTTGCACAGGTTGCCCCAAGAGCCAAAGATTGCTACCTGGCCCCTGGCGCAGAGGTCATCACAGGATGGTTTAGAGAAGCACAGACAGTGCTGCAGTGTGTGCCTGCCAGGCAGGCTATGGTGTCATCAGCGTGCTCCCTCCAGCCTTCCAGAGCCAGGGAAGGACCCCTTTTTGGGGTCCCTTTTGATCCAGCAGAGTAGCCCCCAAGGCACTCTCAGCAGGCCACCCAGATGACAGCCATCCCCACTCTGCGGCACCGGCTTCCCACGCACCTGGGATAATTTCATCCCACAAGATGGTCACATAGTCATCCCGGTCGGTCCTCGACTGCTCGTGGTAAAACCCCAACGCATGCAGGATCTCATGCTCAATGATGGCTTTGTAGTCGCACCCTGAGCCAATGGAGAGGTTCTGTCCCACGTGTTGATCGCCAACCATAGACCAGCACCTTAGAAGACCACGAAAGTGAAATCATTTTCTAGAGAATTCTGAGCTGCAATGCAGGTCACACAGACCAGAATAAAACTAGGTTTGATTTTTTTTTTTTTTTAAATCACATTTCTTGGTAGTGAAATCACCTAAGTGCTCTCTTTTGGCCATCTGGAAATGTTCAGTGCGCCGCTGTTGGCTGTAGTCACCCTGTGACATGGAGCCGCCGCACGTGCGCCTCCTGTCTGATGACAACTCGTGCCCCCACCATTAAACTCTGCATTTCTTCCTCCTCCACCCTGGCGGCCAACTGCAAGCCTTGCGGGCTCTGGCACTAGCCTGAATCTTCTTGTGCCTCTAGAGTAGCGCACTCCTCGGTACACAGTAGGTGTGCATCTTTTGAAAATTGTTAAAATAAAAGAACCAGCTTAGAAAAGATCTCTTGAGATGAGCTAGATATTTACCTTGCATCATCAGTATTTTCGGTTCATATTTGTTATTCTCTCATGTAACTTTTGCACGAGCGGCTGGATTACAGGCTGGCTTCCCTTCTCATCTCTGTTATCCCTCCACTATCAACAAAAACTCTAGGGTCGGAACTAGACAACCTATGCAACCCAAACCCTGGGACCAAGATGGGGCTGTAGCACAAGGGAGACTTTTAGAGTGGCACCTGTTGCCCACAGGTAGTGGCCTTGATTCTGGCCTCACCGAGCTTAAGCTGGTCGGCATACAGAGCACAAGTTCTTCCTTCTGAATATGCCATCCATTAACTCCTAGAGATAAATAGCTCTGGAGAGCAAATTTATATCTAGAATTTTTCATACAGATGCAGCCAAGAGAGTAATTAATTTAGAATAGCACCATTAAAAAGGTGTCATTTATAGTCCAATAAACTTGATTTTGAAAAAAAAAATAAAAGCTCAGCTGTCCCTGAGGGTGGAACTGGTGTGACATGTGGTACCAGGAATGGAACTGCAGTCCCCTGCAGCTGCCTAAGCTTGCCTAAGCAGGCGCTTTAGACCACTGAGTATCTCACTGGCCTCTTATTGATTGATTGATTGATTTGATACACAATCTTGCTACTCAACTCAGACTTGTAGTGATCCTCCTATCTTAGCCTCCCCAGCACTGAGATTATAGGTGTACACCACCACGCCTGGTTTTGGTGGCTGGCTTGGCACAGGGCCTGCATGGCATGTCACACTGGGAATTGAACCCAGGTCCTTGTGCTTGTCAAGGAGGTGCTTAGACCACTGAGCTATCTCCCCAGCCACAGGGTTGTATGTTAAAACACAGCCTACCCAAGAAGCTAAGAGAGATCGATGCCTCTGGGTCCCAGATTTTTCCAAACAGTGTGTGGTATTCTCTGCTTAGCGCATTAAAAATATTATATTATTTAAAAATTCATAACGAAAGATTTGCTTGTAGTTTCCTTCAAAATTCTTCTTTTATTCTGTTAAATAGACATGCCACTTTTGTATGAGCTATGATTTTCCCAGTCTAATTTTATTTTATTTGCTGGTACTAGCTATTGAACTCAAGACCCCGTGCTTACCAGGCACACTCTAATGTTTTGTACTAACCCAGAAAATGCCTGAAATATGATGTACGAGCTCTCTCCCTCATAGGGCTTGAAGTCCACACAGGACTTGAGGCGGAACATTTCGAAGGCAGCAAGGATGGCTCCTTTGGCATTGAGCGCTGCAGAAATCCAAGAGGACATGCGTAAGAATTACTTATACTCAGAGAAAACCATGCCATAGTGTGAAATCCACAAAGGGGCTATGACAGAAGTGTAGTTGGGGGGCTGGGGAGATGCTCAGTGGAATAAGCACCTCCCTTGCAAGTGAAAGGGCCTGAGTTCAATCCCTGGTTGTGCAAAAAAAAAAAAAAGTTTAGTTGTAAATAGATCATTTGGAAACGAAAACTACATAATTCATCATGGGCATAAACAAAGCATGCATATTTTAAATGTGTCATACAGGTATGAATATAGAGTAAGCCCACACACATATATGTGGCTGACTGAAACAGTGGCTGTTTTCCATTCCCCCCTCATGCAAGTAAAGCATGCTGCCTTAGGAGGATCCCTTGGCAGAGTAGAACACAAATGGTTTGTGAGTCATTCTGGCTTTTGTATGCACGAAGTACCTTGGAGTGAAAGTAGGATTCCCTATTCCCTACTACAAGGCTATTCGCACTAGCTGAAGGCTGAGGGAGGTGTGGGAGTTCCTAAAGTGGAAGCAGCATGTGTGGTACAGGAGAGATGACCAGAGAAGTGGTCCTCTAGACAACTAGTGCTGCACACCTACGGCCTTCGGAATCGCTCCTCTCCAGCATGCAGAGTGAACGGACCCAAGAGCCAGGACAAGAGGTGCACACAGTAGCTTGCATGACTACGGCCAAAGATCTGGTGGCCATCCTTCCACCTAAGATGCACACACATTGGGCCAACACGATATGACAAGGACAGGTGAAATGAGGGTCCCACAGAAGAAGTGAGATTATTTTCTACTTCATATGCAACTTTTCCTCCCATCACTTCCAAGAAGACTGAAATCTCCTTTATAATTTAAAGGGAGTGATATGAAATGAAATCATCTTCCTCATACATCTGATTTTAGGCATTCCCTTTGAGGAACTTGTAATTCCTGGCAGTTTCCCAGGAAATTGTGACACGTTTTCTTCATACTTTCATCAATAATCTACCACAGTGAAGATTCCACATCGAGGTGACAGCACATCAAGGTCATTACAGAAATGGCTGCGGGCGCGGTCGGCGATCATCAGTTGATGCCAAGTGAACAGGGGTCACTTGTAGCCACTCTGTTCCATCCGATTGCACCAAATTCATACTTTGGGATATGCACAGGCTCTTTAATAAGTGGTGTTGGAAAAGCTTGATATTCACAAGCAAAAGACAGAAGCTTAGCTCATGCCTCTCCCCCTATACTGAAGTCAATTTAATGTAAAGTGTAACACCCTGAAACTTTCAGAAGAAAATGGGGGGAAAGCCTTCAACACAGCAGTACAAGTAATGATAATTTTATGGTAAGAACACAGAAACAAGCGCAACGAAAACCAAGCAGACAAGCACAATTCTGTCAAACTAAAATGCCTCTGCATGCAAAGGAAACAATCCACAGGGCCCAACAACAATGTCTAGCACTGGAGAGTGTTTTTGAACCTACTCACCTGAAAAAGCTTTTTTTTTTTTTTTTTTTTTTTTTTTTTAGGGAAGGGTCTACAGGAGTTCAGGGCCTCACTACTAGATTGGAGTCATAGTGATTCTTCTGTTTACAGCCTCCCAAGTGCTGGGATTACAGGCACGTGCCACCATGCCCAGTCTCAATAGCCATCTCAGTGCACTCCAGGGGATCGAACCCCCAGTCCCTGGGCCTGCTTGCAGGTGCTTTAATCTGCTGGGCTTTTTGGCTGGCCCTGAAAAAGCATTAATATTCAAAATCTATGAGCAACTCATCAAACTCAATAAAAAAATATATCCAATTTAAAAATGAGCAAATTATGTGAATGAACACCTCTTGAAAGAGCAGATACAAATGACCAACAAGCTTCTGAAGAAATACTCGACATCATTAGCCATCAAAAAGTGCAAATGATAACAATCACATATCAGCTCACCCCAGTTAAAGTAGCTACAATAAGGGCCGGAACTCAGCAGCACAGCAAGCCCAAGATTCTGAGTTCGATTCCTGACACCCAATAAATAAATAAATAAATAAATAAATAAATAAATAAAGGCTACTACAGAAAAGACAAAACAAATTCTGGCAAGAATGTAGCAAAAAAGAGTGCTCTTGCACTGTTAAAGGTACCTATTACAAAGAACAGCACAGAAATTTCTCAAATCTCTAAAAATAGTTCTATCCTCTAAGCCAGCTACATACACCACTTTTGGCTCCATATCCAAAGGGCAGTGGTCAGCAATCAAGGAGTTTCCTGCACACCCATCTTTACTGCTGAAATCAGCTTAGATGCCTATTAAGAGATAAATGGATAAATAAAATGTGGTGTATATCTACTGTGTCTATCTCCAGTGGAATATTATTGAGCTATAAAAAGAAATGATAGCATATCATTTATAGGAAGATCGGTGGAACTGTAAGATTGCGTTAAGAGCGATACAACAGGCACAAAAAGGCAAATACCATCTGTTCGCTGTCACATAAGGGTGCTAGAAAAATGCTGACCTAAATATAGAATAGAAATTTCTAGAGGCTGGAAGTGGGGTGGGGACAGAGAGAGGTTGGCCCGCAGGTACCAAGACACAGTGAGGTAGAAGCGATGGATTTCAGAGTTGTGCCACATGGTGGGTGACTTTGGTCCACAACAATGCGCTATGCATTCTATGGTAAGCTGGAGCGAGGAGCTTGATCCAACACAGCATGATGATAAGGAGACTGCAAGGTTAGTGACCCCTACTGGATCTGGGGAAATAGCATATGGTGAAATAGCATGCTGCACCTCATAATCATGTGCAAATGTTAGGTGGGAATTGAAAAAAATTGAAGCTTGTAACTAATTAGGTTGATGATTACATGTGCTGTCACACTGTACCCCGTAATTATGTACAATTGAAATAATAATTGATTTTCAAAATTTAAACAGGGAGCAGAATAGCCAACAAATGAATCGTGGACACAGCTCAGTTAACCACAGGAAGAGCATGGCAGGGTACAGGGCGACTTCAACAGATCCACTCTGCAAGAAATGCTGCAGGAAGTGTTTCCCACAGAGGCAGGGACATCAGCTGGGAGCTCAGCCAGTGGGAGGAAGGAGGAGCCCAGGACTCAGGAGCACAAATGCAAACATGAAGATGATCATTTGGTCAATTATTCTAAAAAAACAACTAAGGCAAAAAAAAAAAAAAAAGTGACCAGATTGTGAGATTTAGACAGCACATTGACAAGAGTATAACTTGGTGATATCACAAGGGGTAGGCTACAAATGGAATTATGCCATCAAGAAAGGCTTACATTTTATGCAAATGAAACCTATTAAGTCTAAGGAGATTATTGTGTACTGAAGACACATATCATAACCCCAAGGTAAAACCTTAAAGAATTACACAAGAGATTGAGCCAAAATCCAACACAAGAATGAAAATGTTATAATGGACTAAACTAAGGGAGGAAAAGGATGAGTGGTAGGGATTTGCAGAGGGTGTGGTGGAACAAATATAAAATATATAACTAAAATATAAATATAAAATATAAATAAATGTATATAATATATATAAAGTACATAACACAAATCAAGTTGTTTAAGTCATAAACCCTTAATCGTAGTAAGTGCAAATAAACATTGCAATTAAAATTTGGTTGCTCTTTCCTTTTGGGCAGTTTCTTCCCCTTTCACAGTATCTATTCTACTTCAATTTTGTTTACTCTTTTAGGTTCTTACACTAGGGTGACAATATGATGTTTACGCATGCAAGTTTGATTTATTTTCACTTACAGTTATGGTCTCTAGTTGCATCCATTTACCTACAGAAGCCTCGAGTTTCGCTTTCATTATAGGTGAGTAATGCTCCACTATATACAAGTACATCTTTTCTATCCATTCCTCAGCTGATGGGCATTTGAGTTGTTCCCAAGCTTTAGCTATGACAAATTGTGCTGCTATACACATGGGTGCAGATATATTGCTAAAATAATTGTACCACTGATTTCTATTGGACTATTGAAAGGAACAGTCAATGCTTACATTTTAAAACTATTTTTTGACCAATTTTGCATGTTTATATAGGATAACCTGAACAACTGTTTTGATGAAAACCATATGCCGCATGACAACCATTGTTGATTTCCTATCGCCTTGTTTAGAAATTCTGTATCATTTTTAATGTTTTTATTTTTATTCTCTTTAAAATAAAAGTTAGCCCAATAGAAAAAAATCAGATAACTGAATAAAAGAGGGGAATACAAACAAGTGAAATACACACTTTCTTGTTTCAGAGAAGTTTGATCTGTTTCCCTTCCCACAAAAGGGAGGAATTAATACACCAGAAGTGGAAACCTAGCCCTATAGTCTGATTTACTAAGCAAACCCTTAAGGTAGATTTTTTTTCACTTTCTGATGCTAACCAGTGTCTTGTACCTTTGTTTGTTATGTTTCTTCTAATTTTATTAAAATTTTAATTCACGCTACAGTCTTTCAGTGATCCTTTCACACTCCATCTCAGGCAGATTAAGCAGCCCTGGTTTTCATGTATGGGATGTGATCTAAAATTATGGTGCATGTTTAAATGTTTAAACTTTATTACACTAGAAGACACTCCCACTAATTCTCCTCAAAAATACACCACCCCCACTTTGAACATATTCATCCCCTCCTTCCGCCACTTTCTGTGGAAGCTCTGGAGGTCTTCCACCGTGTCTTTACTTGGACTGTCATAGCTGCCTCGGTGGCATCCTAATTTGATTCTAAAAGTTGATCTTTCACAGTCACTTTCTTTTGGGGGGGGGTATCAGGGAATCGAACTCAGGACCTTGCACTTGCCGGGAAGACACTTATGCCACTGAGCTACCTCCCCAGCCCACTTTCATGGTCACTTTGACTTTGGGAAAGAGCCACAAGCTGCACCAGATCTGGTGAATGAGGTGGATGAGGACACAGCAGCATGTTTTTACCAGCCTGCCTTTCCACTGGGTGGCACTCGCAGCAGCACCCACCATGTTTCATTTTCTTACCCTTCATAAAGACACTCAGGAGGGGGCAGTTCCCGAACTGCTTCAGAAATGGCAGGAACAATGAGATAAATGTGTTTCAATCATGGGTGAAAGTATTTGGGAGGAGGGTCATGGCAATGTGTCTTTTACTGTAATTATTTCTTAAACATTTACTGTATTTTTTTTTTTTTTACCACAACTCCTAATGTCATGTCTGTTTTTCTGTGATATAAGGAATCACCAATCACAATGTTTCTACTCTGAGATATCATTTCATATACACTGGAGGTTGAAATCCAAACTGAGACTGAAGAGCAGGCAGAGGGAGACAGAAATCAAACCAGTGGGTCCTGCAGGAATGGGGCCATTACCCAGATTATCCGCCAGGATGTACGGGATGGGGAATGTCCACCTGCTGGTTGGGTCCCTCAGGCCATTTCTTGACTTCTGTAAAAACAAAAGCAGAGGACCGGAAGCCTCATCCTCAAGGTCATTTTGATCTTCCCCTTCACCAACCTCTCCCACCACAGAGAACATATCAAGCAATTCACACAATTCTATGGCATTTGCCTGCTCTTTATAAAAGCGATAGAAATTCCATAGATAATTTGGAAATTTCAGAGAAATTATGAAGAACAAAATTAGGGGACCAAACTAAGGGGTTGTGAGTCACCACAAACACATTGTCCTACCTACTTCTCTCTTATTCTTTGCTTGTTGGGAAAACAGAATAGATACATCATTTAATAATTGTAGATTCTTTTTGCTGTTTACTTGTTTTTCCTTTGTGTTTGTTGCTGTCAGCTACAGTGATGGTCCTTGTAGACACAGGTTTTAGGTTAGAATTCTTTCTTCTGCATGCTGCCCAACCCAGCTGGTCCCCCATTGGTGCAGCCAGTTGTGAGGGACATTATTTGGGGCAGGTACTCACTGGCAGAAGGATGTCCCCTTGAAAGAGATCCAATCCTGCAGCTACATGGGAATTAAAGGAAGAAGAGTTGAATGAACATTACTCAGAGCTATCTTTTACAATACAATTAATTTTCATTATAATAAATCTTCCATTTTAATCGCGATGTGATAAATCTCTTTGAAACAATGCAAAGACTCCCATTAGTTAACCACACAGGAATGGTTAGTAATCACCAGAGATTACCATGTTATTTTTATCTTAGTATTTACTTAGATGATAGGTATTGCCTTCCGGTATTTTCCACAGAGCTAATAAGAATGGTTAGTAAACTCCAAAGATTACAATGTTGGTTTTTTTTTTCAATTTTGAAACAAGAACACCTCTCTAAGAATCTGAGGAGAAAGCTACAAGGGACCTGGATGATCATGGATGCTAAACCTCCTATTTTAAAGGAGGAAATAGGAGTCTAAGATAGGAAGTAATAAGATGAGGAGACAGGAAGTGATGAGCAAGAGAGACAGGAAGTGATGAGCTAGAGAGACAGGAAGTGATGAGCTGGTGGGATTCTGTGGTGACAAGAAAAGTTCCTTCTCCTGTGCCTCCCGGCAAAGCCTCTGTGCTGTCACTCTGTTGTGGGAAAATTGAGTCAACAGTAGCCAGGAGCTCAGGAGAAGAAAGGAGATTTTTATTTAACTCTGGTGGTCCCCAAGGAATATTCTCCAAAGTCTGAGGCATTGATTACAGAATGATTTTTCTTTTTCATAGGGTGGTAAGAGGGAGTTATGAAAAACTATGATAAGCATGGCTAAAGGCCATGGCACGATGGGCATTTGTGGTGAGCACAGCTGTATGGAGCTAAGTGGTTTTTAGCACATTCACAGAAGTTTCAACTTGATAACAAATCATATGATTTAGCTGAGTCCAGGGGCAGAGAACAGAATGGCTGGGCAGAGAACAGAATGATTTAGCTGAGTCCAGGGGCAGAGAACAGAATGGCTGAGTCCAAACAGAGAACTGAACAAAAAGCTGCAGTTTGGTCAGGAGTTCTGCTTTAACACTATCCTGCCTCTGACCTGGGCGCATGGCTGGGCCTGCTCTCTCTCTCATGGAAACACTAAGCTCCAGAGTCAAGTCTATGCTCTGTAACAAGGAGACCAGGGGAACAGGCCAGAGCTTGCAAGTCTGCATCTCCAAGCTCCTGCTTCTGATACTCAGCAGAGGAAATGCCAAAGACAGGCTTCCCCCAATGCGGCCTCACATTTTCTGAAAAAGGAAATCTTAACCAGGAAGTCTATGTGGTCAACATTTCACGGCTCCAAAGAACATCACTCAACTCAACCTTCACAAGATTGATAGGATCCTCTGTGAAGTGCAGATAGCATCAGAGGGACCTCTTCTGTAACACCCCAACTTAGAGCTGGGAACCACCCAGGGAACAGTCAGCTTCGCAAGGCAGAAAGGGCCCCATAGGCAAAACAATGGCCCTTTAAAATTGGGGTCCAGGTGCCCAAGGGACACCAGGAGGTGCTAGGTCTTGACTGAACTATTCCTGCCTCTCTTCTCTTGACACACAGTTTTCCTGGCTTGTTTGACTTGTTCAGGTGATAAGGAGACCAAGAACGCCATGGACAGTGATAACACAGTTGGCTCATCAGAAGGACCCACATTGGAGGTGTGGGTCCACCTGCCACCTAGCCAGACTGGTGGGATGCAGAAGCTGGTGTTTTCTTAGGATGGGAAGGGACTTTTCCAGATGAGGACACTAATTCACTATCCTTAACCCGAGGGCTGGCTGGACACAGAGGGGGTCCTGTGAGCACATGTCACACAGAAGTATGTGTCCAGTGAAAGTCAGATGCATCTGGTCTACCCAGAGCATCAGAGGCTCCATCTTGACTATCCCAACAGTAGGAGGATACAACAAGGACCAGAACAAAAGCCCTACGGAGATGGCATTCTTAATGGGAAGAGACACATAAACAGACAAATGGAGAGTAAGACAAATGACAAAAAAGCATAATGAAAAAACTATGAAATAGGACAAAGGGAGAAAGTGTTGAGGTGGGGAGGGCTGCTGTTATCCCCTGGGCCATCAGGGCAGTCCCCCTACAGAAGGTGGCCTAAGGCAGAAATCAGGTAGAGGGAGTAGGAGGCAGAGGCTGGAGCAGATGGAAGGTTGTTTGGGCCTAGAACAGGTCCATCCACTGAGCTGGTGCCTGGGGCTTCTGATCCCACAGAGCACTCCTTTCTAACATGTGTTGGGATGGTGTCAGAGCACTGGTGGTGACCACACAGGAGTAGTCACTTGTGAATGTGCAGTCAGAGTGGCTAGGACACTCTGGGAAGAGAGGACAGCATAGGAAATGGAGGCCCGAGAGGCAGCTGGGTTGGCTTCTCCGGAACTGGCATCCAGAGCCAGTGAATCCCCTTGGTCTGCCCAAGTGGAGACGCTGATTCTATGGCCCAGGGTGGGGGGCACCCACAGTGTTAAGGGCACAGGCAATAGAGACTGAGGACTGCACTGGGAGAGTCCAGCTGTCACTCTGGGCTGTAAGTTGGAAGAAAAGTCACCAGAAATTGAAAGTGACAGGAACCAAATGCTGTTGGAAGGACAGCCCTGTCCCCAGAGTGTGCAGCCATCTTTGGGGTGACCAGAATGGGGGGCAGAGGTGAGGTCCCTGGACAGACAGGGCAGATGCAATGTGACCCTGGCCAGGTGGAGTAGTGATGTAACCATGTGTCTGACACCTACTGACAGATGGCAAGGAAGGTGAGGGACAGACTGGGACTCAGGGCTACTCTGAGATTCTGAGCCTAAAATCTAGGAAGAGGGAGACACAATGGCTGAAATGAAGATAACAGCAGACAGCAGGTCTGGGATGGAGGATAAGGACACTTCATCAGCATTTTGAGGCCCAGAGAGAAGGCGCAAAAAGGTGCCAACTTTCTCTGCATGATTGCGTCCCCCGCCTGTGGGGACAGGAGTGCGCCACACAGCTAAACCAATGGCTCTGGTGCCTGGGATCAAGTGGCCTGCAAGAGATGGCTCCTCAGACAGACTGTGTCCCCATCTCACAGGTCAGAGGTGGTGCTGGGGCTGCAGAGTAAGAAATGGCTGAGGTGGAGCTGATTTCTAGCCCAGATAAGGAGGAGAGGAAGAAGGCTCTGAGTCTGAGCTCAGCCCTGCTTTACTCTGCAGTGGATTGCAGAATGATAGACATCTGGACTGCCTGACTCTCACGCGGGAGCTTTTGGTGCCGGGCCTGAAGCTTGGGGCCCCTGCACCCACCCACCCCTTGGCTTTGCTAATTCCTTCCACTCTGCCCAGGTCTTCGTCTCCCAGCAATTCCGATTAAACATCAACTAGCTGCCGTCTCTGAGCATGGGGCACAGCATAGAAACACAGGAGTCAGGCTGCTGGAGGTGGCTTGAAGACAAGAGCCTGTGACCTTCAGAAAGTCACTCTACCCATTCAAGTGCCCCATCCCTTCCTAAAAGAAGGCACAAGACTGGACAAGTTAAGATGTCCCTGGAGAAGGGTGGGAGAGGCTTCCCAGCTGAGGTGTTGATGATCTTGGTCGCCTCTGCTTCCATCCATCCTAAACAAAGACACTAAAATATAAAGGCTGCTTATTGCAGAAGGAGGACTTAGAGGACAGACCAGACCAGAGACCATCTCAATAGTGTGTGAGACCCTACTTTCTTCAAGAACTATATTCATGAGCAAGGTGACCCAGCAGAAGTACAGTCATGCTTGAAGTCCCACAACCAAACAGCCCTAAGTACACTTGGTGGGCTGGTAGGGAGATAAGATCTTTTCCCCACTACATGTAGCTACAGGCTTATTCTTTATCATATCTCTTAGGAAATAGAATACACGCACATTTTCATTTCTCTCTCTTTTTTTTTTCAAATAGGAACTGGGAAAGTGAAATTTTCATAAGTGGAGAATTTATTAGCTGTCTGTTTTTGTAAATCCAGCAAGATGCAGCAACTCTTCAAGAAAATCTGATCTGTCTTCCTCTAGCCACAATGCCTTTGATCAGAAACTTGACATCTAGGGGCAACCTGCACAGGTCCCTCTTCTGTTTCTCGCTAGGACAGGAGCTTTCTTTCCCCAATAAACATATTCTGCTCTTAGGGACAAGGGTTGGGGGTTCAATCTCCAGGCCTGCCGTGCCAGCCTTGCCCCCAAGGCATGCTGAGACAACAATTGAGACCTGGCATGGTGGCATGTGCCTGTAATCCCAGCTCTTGGGAGGCTGTAAACATGCAGATCACTATGAGTCTGATCTAATAGTGAGACCCTGAACACCCTGTAGACCTTTCACTGAAATACATATACATGTGTGTATATATATGTATGTATTACACACACACACACACACACACACACATATATATATATTCTGCTCTTTAAAAAAAAGAAACTTTAAATCTGAATAGAGCACTAATAAATACTGCTTCCCAAAAGATGCACAATGTAGTGCTATGAAGGTTTACATACTTTACCAATCCTATCCCTGGGCTATAAATTATTCTAAAATATTAATAATGCAGAATTGAACCCACCGGGCCAGGGAAATGGCTCAGTAGAATAAGCGCTTCCCTGGCAAGCGCAAAGGCCTGAGTTCAATCCCTGGTTTCACCACAAAAAAAAAAAAAAAAAAGAATTGAACCCACCTAAATTGATCTTTGAGATATCCTCCTGTTCACCAAAATCCGCATCCTGCACTGTTAAAAGTGGGAGAAAAATGGTCACTACTTATGCTGAATGAAAGAGACAGAGTTCAGAAACCGTACCCATTTGAATTGATTCTTACCTTTCCCACTGGAAGGATGCTTAATCTATAAGGAAATAAACACACAGAAAATGGATCAGGTATACGAGTGTTGGTATTTCTAAATATGAGGAGCAGAGTTCTACTCACCGATACAGCTGCCAGCTGAGAGAAACGCAAGGTGAAGAAAAGAATGCAAGTGGATCTAGTCCAAATCATCCTTGCAGAGGAACTGATTTTAGCATAGACTTCTTGTCATAAATACCTATTGGACCTTGCCCTGACTGTTATATTAGAAACTTTGACCCTTTATATGTGTGTAGTGGTTAAACAGGTAGTTAGAGATGACGTCACTGAACCTTGCAGGGCAGGTACAGGTCTACCTTGTACACTCCCGTGTCACAGACTGGGGGAATCTTTGAAAGCAGCATTAAGGTTATTATATTTGGAGCATACAATAACAAGTGTATTCATCAATTGTAAGTGCTCAGCTGATACCACATAACCGCATGCAAAAATAAAAATAATGAATAAAATGAGAAAATGCACTTAAATCTAGTAAAACATAGATCAGTTTTGTAGAAACTGATGTTATCAATCAGTTATTGAAGGGCAGAAAGATGCAACTTCCCATATTCTCTCCATTTGTGTGTGTGTGTGTGTGTGTGCAATTGTAAGAAATTGTTGTGAATTATTCTGATGTGAGCCTATAATTTTAAAGAAAATTCAGTAAACATCCTAATGGATTTTATGAAACTTGCCAAGCTGACAGGTTTCAAGATATATATGAAAGGGATGAACTTTCAAAATTAAGTAAGAGGCTGGGAGGATGGCTCAGTGGAACAAACACTTGCCTGGCAAGCGTAAGGACCTGAGTTCAATCCCCAGTTCCGCCAATAAAAGAAAAAAAAAAAAAAGTTGTTGACTCGAAAATTAAGTAAGAAAAACTTGAAAAGGAAGAATAAATATGAAGGACTTTCCCTGTCAGAATAATCAGAATTGTTATAAAATTCATTGCAATAAAGAAAAAATGTGAGGGGCCTGGGAGATGGCTCAGTGGAATAAGTGCTTCCCTGGCAAGTGCAAGGGCCTGAGTTCAATCCCCAGTTCAGGAAAAAAAGAAAAAGAAAAAAAGAAACCCCATCCTCTGTTTAGGGCCGGGGAGATGGCTCAGTTGGAATAAGCGCTTCCCTGGCAGGCGCAAGGGCCTGAGTTCAATCCCAGGTTCAGAAAAAAAAAAAAAAAAAAAAAGAAAGAAAGAAAAGAAAAACTGTGAAAACAGAGAAAAGCATTTGTGGAAAAGAACCAGATACCACATGCAAAGTCTGGT